AAATGTACCTCAATTTTTTTCTGTGTATTTAATGTCTATAGCAAACTTAGCATGTAAGTTAAAAGTTCAGGGTGATTCAAGTTCTTTATCGCTATCCTAGTCTACATCTTTGTTACCAATAACAAACTCAAAGTAGTAGAGATCTTCAATGGCATCTCTCAGTAGCTGAAGGTCATTCTCTTTGAAGGTCACCTTACACAACTCTTTTTTGTCTGCATTCTCTGCAAGGGAAACAAAAGAAACATTACAACAAACATCATGGATATGTCAAAGTCCAAACAAATTACTCTTTAAAACTAAACCCTTGATATCTCAAATTCATGGACATCTCAAATCGTTTTCAGGTTCCAGTTCAATTTACAAATTTTTACTGTATACATGTATAGAAAAATAATTTAAAGAATTTTAATTAAAATTTCTAGGTCATCCCATTCCACTCCTAAACACACCAATATAAAGCATAGCAGAAATAAAATCAAAAAATCGTCTGAATTTTTGACTTGATGACTGTCTGAAAATTTCTGCACTGTGTAACCATTTCCAACTGAAATGGAGTTTACTTGTATAATTCACTTTGGACATATTCAATGTTTAAGTATTGCTGTTGAATTCATTTGATGAATATTCAGTCTTTAAGTATTGCTGTTGAATTCATTTGATGAATATTCAGTCTTTAAGTATTGCTGTTGAATTCATTTGATGAATATTCAGTCTAGGTCTCCAGGGATATTTTTCTCAGCAAAACTAACATGATAGTTTATCAACATTAAGTACCTATTGCCAGTAATAACATCAAATAAACAGTTAAATACATTTTAGATTGAAAGTGTTTCTTTTTTCAATATACTGTATACAGGGTTCATTTTCGCCCCGTGTTATTTTTGCCCTTTTACACTGGCTTACAAATTTGCCCCGTTTTAAATTCACCCAGTTCCACTTCTGGGTAAGAATTTATACTGTGTTCTTTGATTTCGCCCCCTTTTAAATTCGCCCACTAGTGACAAAGGACGAAAATAAAACGGGGGCGAAAATTTCCCTGTTTACAGTATTTTAATAATTATGACTTAGCATAGCTTTCTCTCCTAAGTTCATCAATCATTTCTGCATGTTGTACGTATTTCAAACAAACATCTTAATTTTAAGGATTCTTAACGTAAGCCTGAATTCATCAATAATTGAGATGGGTCTTATACCCTGGCTTACAAAAATCAAAAATCATGCAATGTGTGGCAAAGGAGGAAAAAAGATCTCAGATCTGCCAATCCAGCGTTATTAATTAGTCCCTGCAAAGTCTAGCTTTCAATAATCCAGACTGACAGATTGATGAGCGATTAAGTCCCCCTAATCAGCTTAACGAGAAGTATCCGCCAATAAATCATAAAATATATCCTTGTTGATTAGCAGGTACCTGGATGAAGAGATGGACAGAGGATTTACGTTTACAATCTGAGAAGTCAGGAAATCAATGTCACCCCCATCAACTTCCACGAATCAAATAAATCAGAAGCTAGTTCACAACTCTAACTATATAATTATCATTTTTAATATCCAAATAAAAAAGTCAAGCACTATTTAGTAGATACCAGTATGCATTTTTTTTCAATTGAATAATTATCTTGTTTTTTTTAAAATTTGTTATTAATACAGCTGATTGTGAAACATATCGCTTCCATCGAAGCCTTAAGAATTTATCGGTTTATAGATACCCATGAAAATTCATTGGATGATGCTTTAATTGTCAGCATGTGAATTTTCACACAATTTCTTGCTAGATAGCTATGAATAAAGGGGAAAAAAATAACAGATTAAATGTACTCTTACCATGTTTATCCACTCTTAGTCTTAGACCATGGACCCAATGGGGAATTGAATTTTACATTTATACAGACTGGTTTAGGGCTTAAGATGCTCAAAGTATTATGCAAACAGTTTACCTTCTGGATATCTAAGAATACGGACTCGGAGTGGGATTTTAAAATTTTGCAAGAATTTTGACACTTTTTCACACTGGCCACATACTGCTGCTAAAATGGATTGAGCTACTAGTAATTCATACAAAAAGCTGACAAATAACCCATTAAAAAATGATTTCCTGTTAAATACTATGCCCTTTTAACATCTTGAATACCACACTGGCTGCGGTTTTCATACAAATGTCAAAGACAGCTTAGAATTGCTGCTCAAAGACTTGCATCATTAAAATGATTTCAAGTGTGAGGTTTGTTCAATGCCTGTGGCCAGATTAACTCACCTGGCAGTGCACCTAATTATTGATTCAGGGGGCCAAAATTTAAATCTAAGTCTGGTACACAAAACATTTTTCTCCTCTCTGGTTTCAGAAGATTGGAACTAATATCACTAAACACGGATTTGTTGTACTTGAAAAGAAGCATTTGAAACATTTTCCCCCAATGTATTCCTTTGTGAAACTTTGATTGCCTATTGTGGCCCCTCCCTACCCCTTGGGTTTACGATTTGAGCAAATTTAAATCTATACACTATTGAGGGATGCTTCCATATAAATATGACCAATTATGGAATTATGAATACTGTCTTTATATATAAAGATATGTTCATTGCAAAGGGTCGCCCGCGTGGCACAGTGGTTAGAGCGTCTGCTCTAGAGTCGCAAAGTAAGGAGTTGATCCTTATGTCCCGAAAAAAGATCCCTCCCTGCTCAATGGCCATGAGTGCTGAGTATAGGACAAAATTGTACCTCTCCACTGGCAAGTCGTGGAGAGAGAATTCTCAAGAGGAACGTTAAACAACATATAATCAATCAATCATTGCAAAGGAATGCTTCACTTTGTGGTGTTCTTGTTGTGATAGAAACATCACATGATTTTAAATTCAGGAAGTGAACTCCTCTTTTTTTTACGTTAATATTTCTATTTAAAAAATATAGTTAACAAACTATAAGTAAACTGAATGAGCTGCTGCTAATCAAATCCTGAAGAACATTACATGGCATGCAGACTGAAGGATTGAGTTGTTTGAAAATAAGTACAATAACGGGCAATGGCAAACTATAAAGCTGAAGACTGAAATAACACTAGAAAGTTTCTTTCCTCCATTAGCATGTTAAGTGTAGTTAATTACAAGCAGATTGAAAGATCAAGGTTTTAAAAACCTCAGGTAGATAAATGAAGTTCAACTCAATGTTATTGTTACCAATCGAGACATAATAAAAAAATATAATAACCTTAAAACTATTATTTAAAAGAAAAATATTATGCATTCACTGATTCTTGTTGTGACCTCATAATGTCACATTAAAGAACATTATATTAAAATATGAAAAGTTTAATTTTTTCTATTAAATAAAGAATTCAGCTACAATTAAGTTTATCGGTAATTTTGTTGCCCCATCACTTGATTAAGTATGTGCATTGATTTTACATTTTTCTATCAGATAATGAATTTACTTCAAATAGAAAAGAACGAGTGCACTTTAGTATGTCATTTGGAACCTTTTCAGCTACCAATTTTAATCTTTACATTTCGATATATCTCTAAATTAAACTATGATTATTGTGCAAGCATATGCTTTTGATATTTATGCCTTGAAAATTTCATTTTATTATAATGCGCGAAATATTGCGCAATGAAAACCTAAAACAAGTCAGAAAATGCCCCCCCTAGACTTTTTGTTCAATCTATAATATATTATGTGACATAATATATTATGAATAATACGCATGGATGTGGAATGTAAACAATAGCACATATTATGATTTTTTTGCAGTCAAATGCTACACTACGAATTTAAAAATGGTGAAGAGAAAGATTGTGTAATTTCATGGTGCAGAAATAATAAATGATTCTAGTGTTAAGGGATGGGGTAGATGTATCACCCTGCAGACCATAATACTGAGGCGACATTAGCTTATATTTACTTATCTCACTACCAATACCAGAATTCTTTCAAAACACTCTTAAAGAAAAGAATAGACATATAATCTTAGAACCTTATTAAAAGTTGCGCAAAAATCTTTCATAGTTTGATGTTGGAAGTGTACCGTTCCGAATAGAAACTTCAAATGAAAAACACAATGAAATGTGCAACAGCTGTTCAATGAAAGTGTTGGCATATTGAACCATGGAATGTCATGTGAGTAAAGTGATTATAATATATTTCCATTTCTAATTTTTTTCTCTGTGATAACTCTTTGAAAGTTAGGGGAGTTTATTTCTTGATAATTCTGCCGAAATGTATATTAGGCAGGTTGATAGGTTAGGAGCTAAGGAGGCCTAATACGCATGCAAATCTCGTGCGCATCTGTCTCTGTGTCTGACGCTAAGGAGGCCAAGTATGCATGTAAATCTCGTGCGGCTGCCTTTGTGTTTGACGTCAGTGGGCAAGGACTATTGAAATTGGCATGGAAGTCCTCTTGTAATTTAAATCTATTAGTCTAAATTTTTAAAATCTTTGCCCGTTATTCAAATTATCCCACGTTTCCCACTATCATTGATGTCCTTGCATACTACACAAACTAGACAGTGATTCCTTAAATCAATCGTTGACACTCTGCCATGTTAGGTGTCCACTGTAGATATAACACCTGGTGTATTCAGTCCGGGGATGTTTGACTCTATTAATCATAAGAGAGAAAAAAAATCCTGACCTACCGAACAATAATTTCATTGGAATGTTACAGGAAACAAACAAAATTTTTTTTAAACCTAATGTAGAAAATTTTGAAGTTTTTTTTTTTTTTTTTAAATGAATAAATACTATTTATTTCTAGAAGCTTTCATTTTAAAATTGTGAGTTGTCTTTTGAAATTGCAAGTTTATGGAACTCACAATTATTTGTGAGTTGTAATTTTAGGGAGTTTCTACCCCTGTTGAAAGGATCCTATTTTGCTAAGATTTGTCTCTGTTATTCTCCAACACTCCGATCCGTAAAGGAGAGTTGATACAACACAGCTCTGGTGAAGCTTCAGCTTGGTGCTGGTGCTGTACTGTGCAGACCTTCAGATGTTGTTCATTTTCCCTGGCCTTGCCAAGTGGGGATGTCCTCCTTTATGCCACCCTCAGGTTTAATGATGCTACCCGGATAAATAAAGTTGTTTGTTTGGCATAGTTCTTCACCATTAGACCTTAACCAGAGCAGGCAACGCCATATAAAATTATGATTATAAAACTTAGGCAAGCTCATTTTTGATCTCAGTCTCACCTTTCCTCTATGTATTCCTTTGGTAAAAGTGAGCTCGTCTAAGTTTTATGGCCCCCAGGCCAGATCCTTGAAAGTTGAGAACTTGGTGTGTGGTCTTATGGTTGGAAAGTGTGAATGACAATAATTAGAAAAGGATAACATGATAATAGACAGTTATGATATGACATTTATAGATAACAGACAGACATCAACCAAAATAGTTTAAATGATCAGGAATTTTGATACTCTCTAGTGATTGGTCTAGACCCCTCTGTGTGTGATGTACCTCAGAGTGAGTTAACCAAATGATGTTTCGGGACGTTTTTTGGGGGTTTTTCCTCTTGACCAATCATAGATTTGCTAACATTTTCTTCAACTAATCAAATTGGACGTCTTAAAGCATGTATCGTTGTGAATGTAAACATGGTAGATATCGACGCCAGTACCAAATAGACTAAACCAGTTAAGTTAAATAGTTGAGTAATGTGAAATCACAAATTTTCGTGGGGGGTTAATTTTCAATTTTTTTTTCAAGGTATGAAGAGACCCACAACTTTATGTCCACCATGAAATATAAAATGTTACATACATAACTACTAGGGATGTCAAATCGGTCAATTTTTAATATTCGGTTACTCGGACGTTTTTCCGATCGAGTACCCGGGTACTCGGTTAAAGTGTAAATAAATATGAACAAGTAAATTGATGACTGTAAAACATTATAAATTCTTGTAGAAATAAAACAACGTGTTCTGATAGGAGGTTTACCCGTAAATGCATATCTGTTGTAACAATGATGAGCACTTCGTACCCGACGAAATTTAATATAAAATTTTTAAAGTTCAATTTACTTATCAGAAAAACGCAAGAAAAGAAATCATTAGTGGTTCACAGTGTTTTTGTTTAAAAAAAAATCTGCTCCGTAATTGTAGTACTCTTTGTTGCGTTTGACGTCCAGGTATCAGTCGGCAGAGCTTACAGTATCAACTCGAACTTGATCAAATTAATGGATTTACGATTTTCATTCACATGATTGTTCGATCCGAGATTTTATAGTATTACGGGGCGGTATTTTGTTGTTTAGTACAACGATGGACATCATTTTTTAAAGCCTTTGCCTTCAGCCATTTGTAATTGCATGTAGGTAATCAAGCACAACCATATCAACAATTGCACGTGTAATATCATCTGTCTTTTTTTCCCGAGAATTAACAGCTTCTCGGAGAACTGACAAAATTATCTAATTTAATTAATTTAAACATAATAGACCTTAAACGATGCTCAGTGAAAACAAATAATTAAAGTAAGCCAAGAATACGGGTAGGAGACAGCCGAAGGTGAGGAAAGCCAAATAACAGGTGCTTGGTCACGATAATTACTGTATAAACACTGCCACAGGCGATAACGGTCATTTAAGGCGTAGGAAACCCTGCCATGTACAAGTGCAATGAGCATTTTACGTTTTAAAACAGATTGTTTAATGCATTAATAAATAAGCTTAAAATATTCAAAAATATACATCCGAGTAATTCGAGAATGACATCCCTAATAACTACTCAACAATTCTTCATCCACGAATTCAAATACACCGTACCAATGAACCAAGCATTTTTTCTCAAACCACGAAAATTTGACCCCACGAAAATATGTGATATTACAGTATTTTTGTTTAATAATATTGTTGTCCACTTTTAAATAATTCTAAGCTGTTAAAATTAATTAATTATAATGTGTTGTCACACTACAGATTATATTATGAGTGTTTATATTTGATAGTGACAAGAACTAAAGTGCCATAACTGTTGTAAAATTCCAGATTATTTAATAAAACGGTTGTTGACTTTTGAATTCAGTCTACTCGTGACTATATGGACCTGCCCAAGGCCAAAGGTCACGAATAGATTATTCCAACTAAGCAACATATGCTTGTTGTTTTTTTTTTTTAATTTGACGCAATTTTTATGCGAGCATTTATTAAGGAAAGTTCATATATTTTTAACCATGTACAACTTTCAGAATCTACAGAACCATCAGACTTCTTGATTCTTTTATTTTCACTGAACCAATTTTTTTATTTTCACTGAACCGACATCAAAATTCACTGGCCTCGATTTTTGGACCTTAGAGTTTTCATGATAAATACACAGCCAAACGTAATTAATTTAACAGTAGGTGATTCAATCTACTAAGGCTTTACAACATGTACAATGAGTCTTTATTATATGACCTACTACTGTGGTATCTTCATCCAAATAGGTGGAAATGATGCTAATTTTTTTTTTTAAGAACTAGTAAATTTGCACATTTTTGTCAATTTTAAATTCAATTATAAAGAATTAAAACAACAAGAAGATTTCTAAATTATGTTTGTTTCACCAGAATTTGTTCATTTGTTTTTTCATTATTATAAGTCACATAAGAATCAAGTATCTAATTACAGAAGACCCTCCAATATGTGTTTCAGTAGATACATTTCTGTTGTTAGACAATTAAAAAATAAATGCATCTGTCAGTGAGGAAATTAACGCTTCATGACAGAGGGCTAATCTTATGAAAAGAGAAAGTCATGCAGTATCCAGATTTATCTCTTTAGTGCCTATTTAGAAGGATAAAGGATGACAAAATTACATCAATGCTCTTATATACTCCTCTATTAGATTTTCTGATTGCAATCTCTATTTTCCATAATCCTCCTAATGAATTGTAATGATAAAGAAGGTATTAAGAACTTATTAGCCATGCAGTCCCTTGGCAAACCTATATTTCTAATGCCATAGGAGAAAATGAAAGTTAAATACTGTTGCCATTAGGTACTCTTAAGTAGGTTCAATATAACATTAAACTTATACAAATAATCACAATCAGACTTAAATGTCCTACTCTTTGAGCATTATGCTTCAATTTTAATTTAAAACAAAAATACCTCCCCTCCTTCAAAAAAAAAATAGAAAAAATACAGCACATGAAAAATAATATGAAGCAGCAACCTTTTACTTAGCTTCAACAATTAAATACCTTATATCTGTAGTATTCAGAATTGGCAAAACAAGATGTTTGTGAAACAACTATCCCCCCCACCCCCCGGACATACATACCAAATTTCATTTTGTATGTGCAACCTCTGCGAAGAAAATAAAGGGGAACTGCAAATAATTAGAATTTTCTAAGTCCAAGGGACATTACTGTGTCAAAAAATTCTCAATCAATACCCAAAATAAAACTTGACCTAGATATTCTTATGATATATCTGTATACCAAAATTTCATTTCAGCATGTGCAACCTCTGCAGAGGTAATGAACAGAAATAAATGGAATTTTTCTATGTCCAAGGGACATAACTCTATCCAAAATGGCTCAATCGTATCCAAAACATAATTTGACCTAGATATTCTTATGATAAATCTGTATACCGAATTTCATTTCAGTATGGGCAACAGTAGTGAAGAAAATGAAATGAAATTTGGTGGACCGACAGACAGGTGGACTGAGCAAAGCAATATGCCCTCCCTTCTTCGAAGGGGGTGGATAAAAAAAATAGTCTGTTCATTCTGAAAATGGAATTTGGGTTTAAAAACTTACGTTTAAAATTGATTTCATAAAGTGACACGGCCATTCGATCTCCATCCAGCACCTCTCCCAGGGTCAGACTTTTGTGTTCTATCTGGTATATACAAAGAAGTTCAAATTTGTAGCACCTTATAACATGATTCTCCCAGAAAATACAAGAAAATCAATTCCCTTTATGCAGCTTTAAAAATTCCTGTATTATTTGCATTGTAATCAGAATTTATAACTTTAAAATTATTACTCCACTTTACTCGAAATGAAGTCTCTCATCCCAAATTTTTCTTAGACTTATAAGTAACGCTACAAAGTATACACTTCTGAAGCTTAAACTTACATATCATATATATATATTGAAATATCTATGAACTTCACTACTGGCTTATGATAACAAATAACATTCAATATCTCAATATGCAGAAGGCTTATACATGTATGCATTGCCATTCTACATGTTCTAGAATAAATCTCGAAAAACTTTTTCCTTTTTTGTCCTCTCACCACAAAATTGCAATGGGATCAGGCTCTAGGGCCATAAAACTTAGACCAGCTCACTTTTGATCTTAACCCAAAGGTATATACATGTAGTGGGGAACTTTGGAAAAAGTGAGACCGAGATCAAAATTGAGCTCATCAAAGTTTTTTGGCCCCAGGGCCTAATATCTTGCTCTTATGTGTATCAATACGTAATATTGCGAGTACCTCGCAGTTATCTAACTTACCACCGCTCTTTTGCAGGGGAATTGAGAAAGCTCTAAATCTTGCAAGATTTCTTGGGCACATAGCATTGTTTACAGTACATGTAGTGACAATCGAATGATTCGAACAATTTTATGCTGAAAGTACAATGTATTGCCAAGGGTTGAACTCCAAATAGTAGATTGCCAAATAAGGAAAGTTTACAACATTTTATCAGCTTCTAAAATGTGACGATTTTCAATGAAAATTTAATGAGAAGAGTCCGCTTACTTAAAATTTCGTTAAAAATGTAACATTCTAGGATTAGCTGATTATTTAGCTCCACTCAAAAATTGATTAGGCAGGTTCAGTGACTGTTTAGCAAGGTATTCCATCAGGATTTTTTACTTATCTGTCCTTATAAATTCTACAACATGTACAATGATCGATCTTGCATTGTATTCAATAGCACAATTGTCCCCATCCAACATGTTTCCTACCTCCATCACGAAAGAGTTCCGCTAAGTAAAGTAATCGCGATATGAAGTATTCATTCATATGTCTGTCTATGCATCTATACCAATACATGTATTATAAACAGAGTTTAGAAGTAGACTTTGATTTTATTCCTTATTTTGATACAAAGATACTTGGTGATTAGAGAGAGAGATGCCTGTTGAATTCCCTGCCAAAAGTTCAAAGGTCAAGTGGAAAGCTTTGTTTGTGGGGACAAAATCTCATTTTCAAAATGAACCCACTATATAATTACATTATACTTTCATGTGCTACAGCTAGTGTATGATGCAAGGGTTATCTGAACTAGAAATTTGCAAGAATTACATTATTTAAGCTTTTAAGGTGCAATTTTCTCTCCTTCCCTCCTTTTTCTTTGTCATCTATTGGGTTTCTCTTTATTATGATGCCTTAATTGTATACCTGCCTCTTAAGCAGAATCTTTACCTGTCAAAGTTTGAAGAATAAGAAAATCCAAAAGAATGCTTTTATGAAATCCCTATGTGTTGTAGCAGATCTGAAGAGATGGACAATTGAAGCTGATCAGCTCTTGTGAATAATGATCAGTACCGATATATGGATTTTTATGAAATTGAAAATATCTTGGACGTTTTTCTTGAAACTGAACAAAATTTTAAGTGGAACAGATGATTTTTAGATGAAAAATGCCCATGATATTAACCTGGCAGTAAACATGGTGATGCAAAAATATATCTTATTTTCAGCATTTACCTTCTTGGGACGGCAAACTGGTAACTGGTAGTAGTGATATGTTTCATGTGGATTGAAGTATGGACCAACTTTGTTTACATAAAGAACAACCTGAAAATACATCATAAAATGAATAAAACAATCCTCTGCGGAAGCATATACAGTAAAACTCGGTTATAGCGAAGTCCTGGGGACCCGTGAATTTACTTCGCTATATCCGTAATTCGTTATATCCGTATAACAAATTCGTATAACCATTATAGCGAATTCGCAATATGTGTGTTTTCCTTCAGGTATTACTACTAAATATGTTAGGGAAGCAAATATCACAAAACATATCTTCCATAACTAATGTTTTATTATGAATTGAATTTTATATACAAATGCTAAAAGTAAACAAAATCAATTGAATTTTTCTTGGAAAGTTCGTTATAAAAGAGTAAATTTCATTATATTTAACCTTTCAAAATCAGTTCGCTATAAATTCGTTATATCAGAGTTCGTTATAACCGTAAAATTTTGATTTGTTAAGAATAAGAAAAACTTCGCTATATCCATGAATTCACTATATCCGTGTTCGTACTAAACGAGTTTTACTGTATCCAGTGAGTGAATAGAAGCTGTCTACAATTATAGAGACCCTTTTCCTTCATCATCATACTTGTTTTAGTCTTATTAAAACTACAACTATGATTATAGGATACCCACCTCTCATATATGGTTCAAACTTGTAGCATAACTTGAAAAATGTACCTTGTATGTATGACCTGAAGTATTGGTATTGTATAATACTATTGGTATATGTATAATTAAAGAAGTATATTTGTTTCTTTTTCTCCAATAAAAAGCTATGTCACAGACTACCATTTCAATGGCCCTTATGGGAAACAAAGCACATTTGTGTAATAATATACCAAATGGGATATAAATAAATTACACAGCAAAAAAAAGTAAAAATATTCTCTTTGGCATCATCTGAGCTAGTCACTGCCAATCCTCATCAAATTTCATCAGCAGATTTTTCTCTCTTTATTTTGAAGTTCATGTAAAACTTCGATCACATATTGTAATCATAACATTAGTGCTGTGCTATATTACTGGTTAACCGCCGGTGTATCCTAATTTTTTTCTTCACAATACATATCGTGGTATTTTCTTTGTGGATACCGGTTAGGGTTTGATATGCTATACAATGTTACAGAATTTGAAAGAGTTACTCAGGGTTCTCCACATTTGAAAATTTAACAATGGAGGAAGCTGCGCAAAGGTGAAACGTGGCCGAAAACATGAATGCCTCTTAGACTTCCTAATCTTCATTAATCAATGATTGGTTTTACAATTTTTAAACTTACCCACTGCAACATAAAACAATGAAATAACTATAACTTTTTTTTAAAGTTAAAAAAATAATGATTTTAAATTGAACAGGATTTATCCTGTATCTTACTTCACAAATGAACCAAAATTTGCCCAAAACTGTAGTAACCTTCTGAAGGAATTTAAAGAAAAATTGTTGATACAGTAAGTCAGTAACCATGGCAATATTTTTTTTAGAAACTAATAATTATAAGAATTGTAGCCTGTTGTATGAAATGTTTTGTTTCAGTTTGACTAACACTGATGAATGGATAGTATTTTTTTTTAAGTTAACACACAAAGGAACATTTGGACCAGTGTCTCTTTTTTTCTAAACATTTTATTTTTCTAGATATTGCATTTATCACCAAGTTTTGTTTCCCAGTGCTAAAAACAATGCCACACAATGTTTCATAACAACGGGAAGCAACTCTAAAACTAAGAATAAAACTAAGACGGCGATTGAGACATAGGCATTATGCACCACATTTTATCAAAAAGATGATAAAGTTAAAGCTTAAAAAACAGAGCATGGGAAATTGATTGAATACAAGGGAATATGAAATTTTTACAGATTATTTTTTTTTCTGGCACAGAAACTTGAATTGTAAGCATGACAATTATCATGCTCGTAATTGTCATCTTTTATAAACCCGTTATATATATCTAATCGTGTTGTGAACATGTTGAAGTTCCCCAAAATTATTTACATGTGTACACTTACAGGATAATACACTCTCAAAATATTGATCATCTGATCAGCTGATTGATTCTCCATTGATTGTCACGCTTCACAGCATAGTCGCTGATTAACGATGTGTTTAGCACAGTCTGCTTTCCTTCGAGGCATGCCAGGTGCACGGCAGTCTTAGTATAATAAACACGATTAACTACTCAAGTCATTAAAAAAGTAGGTGTCAGGACTGAAATGCAAGAAAAGTGAATCATGGCGGATGCCAATTTTAACCATGGCGCAGCTCGTTTAACCATGGCGCACATAAATTTAACCATGGCGGGCCGCCATGGTAAAACCCCTTGTGGAGAACCCTGGTTACTTGCCCTTTATCAATTGAAATATGGCGACAAACACCATAAAATGTGAAATTAAACGAAAAGACAATAGCTGTTACATGAAAAACTTCCAAGTTATAACTGAATCTGACTATTGCAACATGTTTCTAAAGTTCTTGTGCCATAACAAACTCAGCTATCCACTTGCGCCGACACACCTCGATCAGGCAATGTCAATATCAACTCGAGAATGCATGATATTTGCGGTTTTTTTATTTAACATAAGGAAAGAGCAAAAATAATTATGAATTTTATATTGCGATATATTGCAATACAAAGAAGATGGGCATATTTGGTGTGTGATCTGCAGGAATATATTGTACGAAACATCTATGGTTTAAATGTCCATGATTTGGTTGGCTAACCATAGCTGGTCAGATTTTACAAACACAGCCATAGGATTTTTCTTTCATTTAGTTTGAAATACCTTGTCAGTTTGTACCTTTTATGTCTGTTTTTTTTTTTTTTTTAGGAAATACAATAACAAAGTAATACTTCACAAAAAAGTCATCAATACCTATAAGATAAAAGGTGATAAGTGTACATGCACATTAAAGCTTAAGTAGAATAAAAGATTGGAATTTCTTTCCCTTTCGGTGCAACTGAACCAAAATTTATTTAATTCAAAATTTTAATAAATCAGTACATAAAATAAAACTAACAAAAGAATTGATTGTTTGCATTAATAAAAAAAATTTTTTGCATTTCTAGTGCACTAAACAAAAAAATCCATATTAGCTATCACCGCTACACACAGGTCCGGCACAATACCCCGATAAAGGTATATAGCTTGATAAAGCTATATAGCTTTATCTAAAATACCTTGATCAAGGTATTTTACCAAAAACTTGTTCAGTAAATTTCTAGTCAAATACAAACAAATCAGTAAAAAAAACAGACGTTATTTTATCTTTCATATGTTTTACATGCATGAATAGACACAGTGTCAAAAACTCAGAACTCGACTTTCAGTAATTAATTTTGAAAGAATTTTTTTTGAATGCTAAAATACCTTGATCATATTAAAGCTATATAGCTTTATCAAGCTATATACCTTTATCGGGGTATTGTGCTGGACCTGACACATATTCTGGCCATTCATATAAAAGGACAAAGAAGCACTATATATATTTACACAATTGCATTTTTTGGAAAAAGTTCATTTTTTAAAGGTCTCTGGGTCTTTTCTCTATTTTCTACAAATGTATGTTTGTTTCTTTGAATTAAAATGCACAAAAATAACATTTCAAAATCACTGAGAGAAGTCCCAGAGATTTAGAAAAACATGTTTAAAAAATATACTATTTTGTACCAAATGTCTGATCTATCCAATTTTGAAGTTATTTTTTAACAAATCAAAGCTCTCTATCAGGAAATCATTTTCCTCTCCCATTTTACAAGAACCTGTTAAATTAAAAACAAGCTAATTCAGAGAGTTTGTGTCCCCTGCTTAAGAAAAAAAGACAATGCGCACTTCGGGGAAAGGGGGAGGGCTGTGAAAAGGCACAGCTGTGATTTTGCATGAAGATTGCTAAGTATAGCTTCTTTCAGCAGCTTAACAAACGACGTAGATAATACACTCTATATGGTACCTAATGTAGCGAGAAAATTCGAGCGTATTAAACAAGGATGTATGTCTACTGTGTTGCTCGTTTAACTTGATTCAACTAAATACTTATCTATACATCAACATCACATAAAATCTCCTTTGTACAGTATTTCACCTTTTCTCCTTGCTTGTATTTTGCAGAACTGCAAATTGTTATTACTGCCAACACGACACCAAGGGTTCTGACCGCCATGTTTGTTGTTGACAATCAAATACACCATGTACAATGATGTCGGTTTCTATATATTTTTACTCTTGAGGTTTCTACGACCTGTAAAATTTGCAAATTGTGTAAAATGTCTGCATTTAGTAGAAAGAGAAATTTCTATAAACTAAAAACGTCTTCCCTTCTCATTTCGGGAATTTATTGACATCAGTGTCACTTTGAAGCTTTTCTGTGAAGTGAGAATCTCATATTGCTAAACGTTTTATTGATAATACACAGCTAAAAGCTTTTCCGGCTTATTGCTTGAACTAATATCCATACGCTGTCAGTTATATTTTGTTAATGAACTATTTAATTACGTTATGCAATATTTCAAACAATTTTTGCTTATCTCTTTATTTCAAATATTTAAAATATTTTATTCGTTTTTTGTATATATGGATAAATATCAAAAGATAGTTCTGCGGAGTTATTATTATTGTCCGTAAATAGGCCTGCTAATCCTCTTAGGGATAAACGAGATGTCTTTAACTGGCCAGGGATAGGGATTTGGTTGTTATTGAAATGTTAGGCGCGCGAAGACCGGGTGTATCGCTGTATCTCTGTCATCTAACCATTCGGTTGTGATGCATGGTGACTTTTAGAAACTCTTTATCATTTCTTCATCCAAACATTTCTGAAGTTTTCCTCATGCCGTCTGTTTGCGTTAATCCGCCCTCCTCAGGTTTTAACATATTGTTCAGTACTCAGGCGTTTTCATGAGTTTAAAATCTTTGGTTGAACTTTCGAATCAATAAGATGGACTTCCATGCTGCAATGGAAACCTTCGCTGAAGCATGGGTGGCAGCAAACACCCCGACAGCTGTCAATACAAGCGAGGTAAGAGCTTCATTGTCTCCCATCACATTTTTCTGTGGCGATAAAAAACTCTTCATGTAGGCCTATAGATAAGAAATTTGTATATGAATTTATAAGGAATAGAAAAATTTTATGTGTGTGTGAATTATATATATTACTATTCAATCATGTTTAGTTTTGAATTTATAGTTGCTCAATATATATGCATGTTTTGTGTGTACTCCTTGTGTTTAAAATATTGTGAAAACTATTTACAAAAATTGTCATATTTTAAATTTTAATTTTAAAACCTTGGCGTTGCAACTTTGATTGGAAGCATTTTGACCCATTTCTGTTTTTAATAAATTTTATAGCCAGCATGTTTTCAGTCTGTGATGTTTTGAATCGATTTAAATGTTAATTTAAATATTAATCATTATACTTCCTTTCTTAAGGTCAAAAAATGAAAAATTGCTGTTATGTTTTTAACCAGATTCGTTGTACCGGTAATATATATTTTTGTTTTTTTTAAATCCTAAATTAAGCATTCAGATGTGTTAATGAAAATTAAATTTGTTTTCACAAAACAATTGTTTACAGGTTAAAAATGAGTAAATAAATAATTAAACTAAGATTTGTGCATTGATTTAACCTTAGTGTGTGAATTAAAAAGAAACATTGAATTGATTGAAATTCAAGAGAGAAAATTGTTAAGCAATTTACACTTGTTCTTATTGATCTTAGTGTACGAGTTTAATCTAAACATATCTTGTACCCATGAATATGGGAGGAGTTATCAATGACAGACATGTTATCTTAAAAGATTTCAATTAACAAGTAAAATAATAAAGTCGGATTTAAGCTACACTAGTGGGGAAAAGTTGACAAATAGATTGGAAACCTTTAATAATTCAAATATTATCAAATTATGAGATGACCAATATAAACTCTCTCTTGCTTGGACTTGTATGGATCACACTAGCCTCTTCACTCAGATGAGCGGTTCATCGTACCCTGCATTGGTATTTGGTAATACATTATTCTCTCTTCCCCAGATTTCGCAGGTTGCACCCACTGAGGAAATTCCTTCACAAATTCAGATGGAGCAAAAAATCAAAAAGAGGAGCAGTTCCAATTCCCCTGGCCAGGGGCTGCCCACAGCAGGTGCTACTGGTATGCTATTTTATCTTTTTAATTTTCTTAATTTAAATATTTTTTCCAGCAACAAAACTAAGTTCTATAATACTTTTAAGGTAATGAATAAGATTCAATATTTAATTGCAGAACTGGAAAGTAAACAACCAGAGAATAAATTAAATTACAAAAAAAAGAAAGAAAGAAAAAGGTTTTCATAAAATGTTTGCAGATTTGAATGTGTATGGAAGTATGGTACTCGTGAAAAGTTAAATTTGAAAAAAAAAAAAAAAAAAAAAATGAAATTCTGAAAAATAGTTTATAAAAAAATATCCATAGAAATACATAATTACTGCACCAAAATCCCATTTTCATTTTTCATCTTTTTACATATTGCATATGTGACTGTATATTGCAAAAATGACAGTAAAGATTTAGCTTCAGTTTGCAGATATTTATATATGTTCATAAAACAATTTAATGCCTGTATAGTAAATATTATTTGATTCAGATGGCTTACAAATTAAGGACTCACAAATAAAAATCATTGCATTCATTTGTTGAATCAAAGAAGTTTTTCTATTCCTTTGTGTCAAGCCAATAAAAGTTAGTTCATTCACATTTTCTTATGTACAATTCCAATGAGTAACTTTGTGACAATTTGAAATTATTAAGATCTTTTTCCCAATAATTATTGGGAGATTGAAATAAAAGATTTTAAAGAAAAAGGGTGTTTAAATACATAAAAATAAATGTTAACTTTAATTATTTTGTTTTGATAAAAGAACTAAAAATGGAGTTAAAGTATTAAAAAAAATAAATTAAATGTTGGAAGACAAAGTATATATACATATGTAATGAAAATTAAGTCTTGTCAACTGCAGCTCTGTTAATGTTATGTTTTCAATTTTCAGAAATTTCTTCTTTTTTTTCTAAGTTTTTATTTAAACTAAAAACTTGTTGATAAAGGAGTCTCCCTGATAAATAATCTATATTTAAAGGCAAATTAGTGTAAATTCAATGCAATATATGTAAGTTTATTAAAAAGTTTGGATTTTGTGTATTAAAATATCACAATTATTTTTTGTGATGACAGTATATATATATATATATTTGTCTATGAGAGAAACTAGTAAATTGTAAAGTCAGAAACATTTCATAAGTATGTTGACCATAATTTTTTCTAAAATTTGTTTTTAGTAAATTTTTTGCAATGGGGAAATGCGTGTAATCTACTTAAATGTTAGAAAAGGACAGGCAGATTAAATATGATTATTTCAAATACAAACAGCCTGTTAACTGCTCTTAAAGGGTTAATCTCTTAAAATAACAAATTTCACTTTTACGGATTATCCTTCCTTTGTGGGTTAGTTAGGCAAGAGATTAGGGTATTGGATGTTGACCAAAAAGATTAGCCATTTTTCTCACAGCAGGCGGCCATTTATTTAGGACTAATAAAGTCTGATATTTTGTAATTTAAAAAAAAAATGATAAAATCTACAGCTGTAATGCTCCTTGATGCATGCATAATTTTCTTACTAGGAAATCTAGTTTGAATTTTGCGATTGGTTGAGATTTTGTTCTGATGGACATTAATGAGGTTTCAATTATTATTTCCAATGACATCTTTCTATTCTTGAGAAGTGATTTTACATTTTAATGAATGATGTGAATTAGCAGAATGAAAAATTTATGAGTTGGCACAGATCTTTATCCGGTTGTTACTACATATTAGCGACACCATAACTTCTAAAGACATTCAGAATGATTTTATCATTAGATTTTTTTTAGTCCACAGGTAATACCTATGACCCTTCCTGAAACTTTTTGCAGTAAAAGGAAACTGTCATCAATTATTTATTACTCATAATCCCAACCTTTTCATTCTACTGAATTAGAAATGGATGAGAAATGTAATTTTCGTAGGATATTACAGTTGTTAGGGCCTGATAAAATGGGGATTTATGTTCAATTTAGCCTGGTGATCTTATCTTTCATATGCAGGGATAATCTTAAGACTTCCTTAATTGGGGGAGATGAAGCAGGCAGCTTGGTCCAAGATTTCCTAATCCTCTAAGTCAGATCAATTAAATGACATCCAGGGTCTAAAGCCCTGTCTCCGATTTTTACCCTTGCTCTGCTGTATAATTCTACACATACAATAGTCTGGATAGATCAGTGTTTTGAGTGGAGAAAATTGTGAGATTATTACGGTATTCAAATAGTATCTTATCAGACAAGTTCCTAGGTATGATTTTCCATAATGTCATCTTCCTCCCCAATTACACGAAGATCCCTTCTATCTTTGTAGCCTTTATTTGAAACTGTTTGATCACTCCTAGAAGGACAAAATCTATTATTACCAGAAATCATTTAGTTGAAGGAGGAGAGGAAATGTCTGTGTTGATTTGGGCAATCATTTTGTTAATACTGATTATAAGAAGATACTGAATTGATTTTTATTTTATAAAAATACTCTCTGTCACACCAAGGGGTTTTCATTAAAAAATGAAAATAAAAAAGAAAATTATTGTTGACTTCCAAGGACATTAAAGTGTAATTACATTGATTTTGTTGTAAGGGGCATAAAATGAATTATTGTGTGGCTAGCTTTAAATTTTGATGGATTTGAGATTAAACTGTAACACTTAAAGAGTCAACATATAATTATGGCCTCTGTCAGCAAACACAGATCCTTTCTGTCTTTCATTGGATTTGAACATTGTGGATTTTGTATTTCTTCGCTGTACAATGAGGAAGTTTATCCCATGTTGTTAAATAAACATAACTTTGGCTATTGATAAACAATTGTTACAGTGTCGACAGAACCAGGCATTGTATGGTAAATATGTCTGTCTCCGTTGAGCATTTAAGATATAAAAATATTGGCCTTATCACAATTTTTATTTTTCAATATAAAAAATGTAATTTAAGATTCACACTTTGCTTGAGAGGACGGCATACATGAATTTGCCTCAATTTTTTTTTTCAATTTGAAATAAATCTTTTTTTTAAGGGGACCAGCATTTAATCACAAATCTCTCTGTTCTGGGAAGGGGAGACAGACAGATTTTTAAATAAAATTTTGATTAAAAAAATATAAGCAGCTTTATTTGCGATATCCTGTGTTTGGAGATTAAGTTCAAGTACGGAAGATGAAGACATCACAATCAACAAACGTTTCCTAAACCCTGATCATGAAAAGACTGTCTAAATTAGGATTTTGTGTGTGTAGGGCATTCAATCGCGAGGATTAAATCGACCCTGGATTAAGTGTCTATCCTTTATATGTTTACATATCTTCTATTCTCCCACTCTTGTCTCTAATCCTGCGACCTGAATTTTCCATTTAGCTAATACCTCAGGTTTTCCAGAAAGAGAGATAGAGACAAGAAAAAAAAAATGCTCCAGAATTTTAATAAAAATGTTTAAAGAGTGATATATCTATAATATTATAAGCAATTTTCTCTCTCTATATATATATCAATAAAGCAGTCTGCTCTCTAATCTTTATTATTGATATCACATTATGTTTTCAATATTATTTTGAAAACTATAATGAATAATTGTTTTTGAGATCTATATTTACAAATTCAACAATTTTTTGTTATTGGCTAAGACGTTACATTTGATCATGAATACCATTGGTCTAGGTCAAAGGTCAGCAATGATTTACTACAGTTTTTGTACATTGTAATGCATTGGAATCTAATTTGCAGGAAATCAGATATGAACTTAATTTCAAACTGGATGAATAAGTGTTTATCTTTTATAAATCTGATCCAGGTACCACAGCATCTCTGCACTAATCTGATTCTCGAGAATTTTTTTTAAATAGTAAAGATGAGCAGCAAGAATAATTCAAAACATTCGACATGGATAGACTAGGACAACTTAAATAGAAATTTATAAGGAAATTTTATTACAGATATTTCATAATAATATATCCAGGTGCAGGAGATTGTAATATGTTGCATGTTAACACAACAGAGTAACACATACAAGGAAATAAATGAATTTACTGATTTAACTGCTACAACTTGTCCAATTAGGTCATTAATCTTTTATTTCTATGATTAATTTCAATTACTTAAGCAACCTCTTTGTCATATACATGTAATTCATTTGTCATACGAAAATGGTCAGTCTTTGTCTTCTGTAATATAACTAGGTTAAAATATGAAAACATTTGGTTGGATGGAGTGATTTGTGCTGAAACGAATATCTCCTTTCAACATTTAACTTGTATTGTGTACACTCCCATTCTAAAGGTGTATACCATGGATTGAAAATAAATGAAAGATGTGAGTAATTTGAGAATAGTACTTATACTGCAAAAAACTTTATAATCCATTCAGAGAAAACTACAAGTTAAAGCACATTTTGCTATTCATAACTTGTTGATGTTTTGGGTATAGGGATGTGCGATTTTATCTGTATACTGGTATATCATGATTTTTAATTGCATTACATATCTTGATACAGAGACTAAAATACTGGTATTTATGTACATAGTTATAATTTCCAGAAAAGATTTATTTGTTCAATCTTTCAAAGTACAATTAGGGGAAGTAGAGAAAATGTTGAAAACCTTTAACGGCATCGTCTGAAGCCAATGTCCAGAGTCCGCATAAAGCTCTCTCCTACCCGTGGCTGCTTGATCACAAAAAGTGTTGTAATCTTGAATATATATTTACGCCTCTCTATTGTGATGTCATATTCAGTCAGTGGCAAGTTTTTTTTCCATTGCAATTGAAATCTGAACAAATGATGTTCACAGTATACAAGAAATATTATGTATACTGCGATTAGATATTGAATGGTCATGATAAAGTTCTAAGGACAGACAATTTGATCCATATTTTAATATCTGTTTTCCCAATCTTCACTGCCCTAATCGATTCCCAAAATGTGGTGTAAGTGCCCTTTAATATCCCAGAGAATACAGTGTATGTTGGTAAAATGGGCAACAGCATTATGGGCATTTAGTGTTTCAAAAAGCAGATCTTAGTTAACCTGTTTCAGTGCAAACATAATTCTTTTCTGTATTATTATTTACTAGAATAAATATTTTTGAAAAGAGTGGAAAATACTTGGTGAAACATTCACTCTTCAGAGAAATGTGTGCATTATGTAAGAGGCAAAGATCATCATTGCCATGTACATTGGATCGTAAAGTGTAAAACAATATTACAAGTTTGTGTAATCTCTGGAATTAGAAGAATTAAGGTAGAACTGATAGGTAAATTCAGGACAGCTGCAAACTTCTACAAGATTTGCTTTTAATGCAGATAATATTGGAATATATTTGGCAGTATCTTTGAAGAAAATGTGATTGCTAAAGCTGGATATAAAAGTATTCAAGATGTTGTATTAGTATGTTTTAATCTCCAGCTAAATTTGTTTCTTTGATATCAACATGTGATTCTTTAAGTTTTATACCAGTTATTTAGAAATTAATCAAAACATTCTCTTGATCTGTTCACATGCAGTATCATTTCAATAATCTTAATGTAAGCTTTACCATAATATAAAAATTTTCTTTTTATCAATGGTCTTACGATTATTTGAATTTGTGTTATGTTACCAACTTCATCAACAAGTTCTTGTAGGAGATCTTTATTTTTCCCCCCTGAAGTAATTGAGAGATTTAACTTGGCTGTTAATTACTGCTGATAAGATTCGGACTTTTGACAGTTTCCTAAAATTCAAAGATATCCAGCTCAAGTTTAATGAAGACACCCACTGCTTAAAAATTACTGTAATCAGGACCATCAGAGGAATATTATAAGTAGCCGTCCTTTCTTCTGTTAGATCTGTCTGACTCGAAATGTTGTGTAACTCAAATAATTCTATTTAAAACAGATGAGGAAATAGCTATTATTAGCTAGGTATTATTAATCCTGCCTGACTTCAAGTGTACTGATATATTCAAGGAAGTAGCTAGGGCCACTGAAACATGTTATCTCCCTTATCTAATTTTAACAACACATGTAATGCAGCAAATGCAGCATGGATTTTTTTGTGTTTGAAAGGGAGGGGGTGGGGGAGAACAAAATTAAGTTTCTGATAAGATACTGGGGTAGTTCTTTTAAAATTCTTTGTGTTTCTTACTTTTTAATTAAGAAAAATTGTAGGAATATGTTAACTCTTTTTCAAACCAATCCATTTTTATACATGCAAAAAATGTATATAAATTATTAGTTTGATGAAAGGAATTCATATACTCTTTTCTTTTATCAGTATATTGCAGTTGTAATAAACTGTATGGAATGCAGTGATTGAAAAAAAAAAAAAAATTAATGGAGCAAGAATCTCTGATATTTGCATAAATCCGCAGATTAAGAATTATTGGGCTCTTCATCAGCATCAATCTATCACAGGGCTGTCGTGGAATTAAAATCTTCTGATCCAGCATTGACACTGAGAGGCATAAAGAGAAGAGATTGTTATTCTCCCCTTTTTTCTTTTAATTCAAATCTGACACAAAAGCAGCTGTCTCCTAAGCGGATGAATCTGAGGATAGCCGGATTAAACGACCGTGCATCTGCCTTATCGCTTTACATAAGTCCTTCCATGGAAAGTATGAAGTGTTAAAAAGGAATTAGAGAGATCTCTTTTTTCCCTTTTGCACTGAGCACAAACCCAAAAAGGCTGGGCATAATCTGCTTTGTATTAATTCCTTTTTCTTCTTCATTTTCTTTTTCTTTCTAAGCTGTCATCTTAAAAGTTCAAGGTGGTTTTTGTTCCATAGGATAAAATAGTAAAATCTATCCTCTAATCGAGCTAGTGATGTTTTTCTTTTGATGCCACTTTAATTTTTAGTTTCCATGGAACTCCCATACTTTCAGGAAATGTGTGATCATTGTTTTGAACTTGCAATGATAGACTAGCATTTCAAATCCCTGAGTTTTTAAATGAATTTGAAGTATTTTTGAGATTTTTATTTCTCAAATATGACTAATCAAAAAAAAAACTCTTTCAAAATAAGAGAATCTATTTAATTCAGGGATACTTTATAACTGTTATATAAATATAGTTTATGAAACACACAAAACATCAATTCCGTTAATTTATGTTGGTGTTTGCACCTAATGGGGTAAATGCAGTAAAGGTGACAGTGGATTGACCGGGTACCTGACAGGCTTACAGTATCTATAACCAGCAGGCTTTTAGTGGGTGATGGTGACAAGGTGATATAGATTTGTGTCTCTTGGCGGATTAGGACCCGAACCATCTGTCATCACTTCAGCTTAAACAAAGCTGATTAAATGTAATCAGGGAAGAGGTGATGTGGTTCATCTCCCCACAAAAGTAATTACAAGGGCTCTGTAATTCAGTCTTAGTCCCTGATTTAACACCACATTAGAAATGATGAAATAAATTGGATAAGCTCTACATTTGGTGTATAACATGCAGACACCTTTGGCCAAAGGAAAATCTGATTAATGCTAGGTCATATATACTAAAACAGATTTTTTTTCTGGTTTAAGTAACTTTATTATAAATACAATGTAGCTAGTTTTAAGGTACTTGAATAAGATTCACAAGTCTTTTCATGTGGGGAATTATCCATGTATTATAAAAACACCACCATATGTCTCATGATTATGTTGTTCTTGTCTTTTGTTTGTTTGTTTTTTTTCTAAAGTAATCTTAAAATAAATGAATTGTGCTGGTATGAAGGATTTAATATTGAATTTTTCAACTTGAGAAGTATCTTGAATGTTTGATCACAAATGATGCATAAATTATGTGCAACACTTGTAACTATCAGCTGATTCTTACATGTACAACTGTTACACATGTTTATACCAATACTCTTGGGGTCTATCGAAGTATTTTAAGTGCTAATGTTGTTCCCTAATGTTTTTCTTCAGTCTATGGAAATTTAAACATCGTCTTTCACCGATCCATTTTTTTCAATGTGAGATCTGTAGAAATTCACCACGAGATAATGATCAGTTTGTACCAAATCTTTGCTCTGAGGCTGGGATTGGAAATTTTTGGAATTATTTCATTATTTGTATGTACAGGAATTTGCTAGGTTCTCTGCCACGGCTTATCCTGTTTGGAGATTATTCTGGACATTTCAGGGAGGTAGAACAGACCTAGTATTTTATAAGGGATAAGGACCTAAATTTATTTGCTTTTGTAATAAAACTGGATTTTAAATTTTTAGAGGTTTTAAAGAGGATTTACCCTTTTCAGTTAAATTGAAAAATCTCGGGACGGATTTAAGATAATTTCCTCTGTGCTTATAAGGATGATCTTTGTCCGACTTCTTTGAATGACGACTTTAAATTTATAAATGCATGACACACAGAGAGAGTAAATAAGCTCAAAATGTTTGAAATTACGATCATAGGATTAATTTGCACCAGACCAAAGGATTTACTATCTGTTTTGATATTTCCTAAAACAGAATGTGTAAGTGAAGATTTTAGAACTGTGTACTTGATGACTGAGGAAATGTAATATAATGACTGAGAAACTGAGTTTTCTACTCAAAAACTCATACAAGAAGAAATTAAAAATTGTGTCTAGATATTTCCTAAGTTTTATTTTAAAAATGCTTTCATTATATATATCTATAAAATATTTTTTGATATACGGAATAGCTGAGTATTAACATTTGAATGATACAGATGATGTAATGAAACATGAAACCTTTAAACTTTTTTTTCATTTTTAGTTCTTGGAATCATGGGCAATTGGAAGAAAGTTTTCACATTTGATTTTTTCTTTTCAGGAGTGAAATCTTTACCAATCCATTGTGTCATTGAACAAACAAGTGGACCTTTGACCTTTGAACCAGAGAACACTGCCACCTACAGTGTAGAGCTGGACACTTATGCTATACTACCCTGTACTACCCTGTTTTCAGAACTTGTACGCACAGCACTCATCAAACTGGGTTACAATGCAAATGAGGCGATGAATGCTAAAGGTAAAACAAAAAACATGAATAACTGTAGTTATAAATATTTTAACTGAAAAGATATGGGAAAAAAAACTATAATTAAAAAATGATAAGATCTTCAATTTTCTAAAAAAGTAAACGGTTTACAGAGGTAAACAGTTTAGCTTGAATATATTGCAACCAAAATGATTATTATAATCTTTATATTTAAAATAGGTGCCATCCAAATCAAGAATTGGAAGCCCCTGAATTTTGAGTCCATTACAGATGACAACAAGTGCACGATAGAGGACATCTTAGGGGACCTTACTCAGACAGCTAAACTTCGAATTCGACTCTGCAGGTAAATAAATCTGTAAGAGTAATACTTCATGACCAGAGGCAGGCCCCACATAGCAAAGTTTATCTCAATTAACTTTAATTAACTAAGGTAAACTTGGATTGACTCACATTGTGTCTATACTTTGGTAAATTTAACCTTAACCATAAACTACTTAATCCAGATTTAATTAGATATGACATCATAATTTCACTGTATATCAATATAATGTTTGATTAAGTTGACTATCATTAAGCATTATAGTGTGGACAATTGTGAAATATAAAGTTATTATTAGTTTTTCTTGATTGACCTATAAGATAAGATAGGTACTGGATATAATCATGTATTCGCAAAATCTTTATTTTAAATCAATTTTTACTTGTGAGAACTATATTTTCACCTAATCATGTGTGTCTGTCTGCACCCAAAAATTTCATTCTTGCGTACATTTGTACTGTTAAAGGATTATATATATATAAACAATAACAACTTACACGAAATTTTATCTCATTTTAAAAATGAAAAAGCTGTCTCACAAAAAAAAAAGTGCAGCAAAAATGAAGTGATATATATAGTATTTAGCAGTAAGTGGATGATCTTAAAAAAAATGACTGAGGATAAACTGCAGCATCTGTAAAAGTTATATTTTCCAACACTCTTGTTAAAAAAGATGAGAGTGATTTTCCAAGGAGAGGTTTAAAGTTGTAAAGTTGAGCAAGGAGAATATAAAATGTACTTTATTCATTTAAATTATATTTGATTACAATCAGCCATATAGTTTTGAACCAAAAGTGGAAATCTGATGGCATAGGGAGATTAAAAGCCTAATAAAAGTTGTAGTGTTATCTTTCTCACTGGAGCAGAAAGAGTGCACACAGTGCTCACAATGTAATATGTGGAAAATACCAGGTACATCACAATATGATTAAATGAAATTCTTTAAAACTATGTATGTGGTAAATAAATACTCTCTGTACACAAATTTTGATGTGCGATATATATGCACACAAGGAAAATAAAGAGCAAAAAAAAAATTTACATCATGTAAACATTAAGTGGATACATGAAGAGATAAAGATGTTGTTTTAAATCATACAGTGCATTATCTCAGTACACAGCAACTTAAAAATTTCAACCAAAAATGATAATCAGGGCTATTTTTAAGTGTCATTTTTATTAGTTTTGTTACATTAAAAAATACACAAGTATCTATTGAAAAGAAGCAAAGGCAACTATTGTTTGACCTGAATATTTTTTTTAATATTATTTGTATCCCACGAACTATTCAAAACAGTCAATGTAAGGTCTAAATAGTGTTTGTTTTGATTTTAACATGAAAGAATTTACTGTAAATTGTGTTATTATACAAGGAGGTGTGATCTACATGAGAAATACAGTGTGGAATCGACTTTCATTTTCGTGCCACTCTCTATTTCCTTCATTACAGCACAGCCAAACTCAGTTCCACAGATGAAATCAAAGGGAAATTACTCCAGCTGCTCTTAACTCAATCTCAAGGCATTCTAATGAGCTCAGGTTGTCCCATTGAAAAAGTAAGTGGAATTCATGATATCGTCCAAAATGTTATAAATACAAATATTGTACAAAAGGTGAACTGTTTAAACCATTCTTTCCATATATAATGAAATAGTCTTCTTGAACTTGGTGATTTGCAAAAAGTTTTTTTTTTTTTAAATCAGTTGTTAAACACCAAGTTAATAATTATTTGTTGTTAGTTTGATTAAGTTTGAAATTGTTTTCTGTAAAATACATGTTGGAAAATAGTTGGTAGTGTAGATAATTATTATTATTTAATCTTCAAAGAATGAAAAGGGGAAAGGTTAAGATTTGATGCACACTTCAAATTTTCAGTGAGATCTTTTAAAGAATCTGAAATTCATGTGGCTCATTGTTAGTGTGATCTATTGTAAAGAATCTTTGTAACATTGACATTTAATGCCTTTAAATTTAAAATCTCCTGCACTACTGACTGACAGGGGGTACATTTGTCTCATTCAGGGTAATACGTTTATAGGAAACACAGCAATCAGACTCTCTAATTAGCATATCCTTACATCTAAATGTGTTGTTTCTCAAGATTATATCAAGAAAACATTCTTCTCTCCTGAAAAAAAATCCAGCTTATGAGGGGAGGGAAGTTTTCAGAAAGCAGTGAACATGAACTAAAACCTAGATTAAATACTTTGATAAATAGAATGAAATATTGTCAGCTGGGCGAGAATTTTTATCAAAGTCTTGTCATTAAAAAGCATCACCGATTAATAACACTGACAGCTAAAATACAGTGGAAAAAAATCAGGCAAAGTTGTTTATAGGAGATGGATGACGGCTTTCTCCGCTGATCTCTTATTTGATTAACTAATGTTTTCCCTGCTCCTCACCTGTGAAATAAGGCAAGTCACAGAAAAAAAGTGAATGTTAAAGAATCTGGTCATTGTGAAAGATGCATTTCCCCCCAATGATAGTGGTGAAGGTCTTTTAAAGATAGAATGATGATATACATGTATGGGGTTGTTAAAATGTCATCTCCAGATGTATAGCTGGGTATCTTAAATCAGAACGGAGTGGGATTGAGTGATGTTAAGGGTGTTAAGATGGAGATTTCATTGTATTTAAGTAAATGAAGCTGTTAATAGGATTGTCTATAGAGAATCGTTTTGTGGTGAAGAACTTGAGAAGGCTCTGCACATTTATTGGTTGTATGTAATGACTAATAATTAACTGTGGTAAAAGAAAACGTGATATATAATCATAGGAATCAGATGGCAAATAATCAGGCCAAAGAATCTTTTCAAACAGCAGTTTTCAGCATTTATAGTGTAGTATTTGCTTTTAATCCATAATTTAGAGTCAAGTGTGTGTTTCACATCAGCATTTATAGTCAATTATAGCAGTCACTGATCAGCCTTATTCGTTTAATAGTCAAGTATCTTTTACTTATATTTAGACTCAGGGTCATATTTGTAAGCAGAGTTTTGAGCAGTGTATAAATTTATGTTATATGATGACCGAGAGAACTTGGGACCAGTAAAATTTAATCTTGCTACATTATATGATACCGTATAAGCAGAATTTTTAGCGGGGGTTTAATTTTAGCATTATGAGCGAGGGTGCCAAGATCGCTAAAATTGAATATCGCTAAAAATTAATTTATTTGTAATAGCTTCTTTAGTGAGCTTTTTAAAATCGCTGAAATTTCATTTTACTAAAATAGAATACCTATTTTTAAGGACAAATCACTAAATTTGCGTCTTGCTAAAATTTCCACTTATACGGTATGTATGAAGAATGGAAAATAGAGCTTGAAAAATGAAATGGTTTTGTTCAGTTTCATACACACATTCAAAAAGATAAAAAACATACAAAAAGGGGAATGTCAAAAACATTTTATTTAACATCCAGTTTATAATGTGAATAGTATATCTTTGTATGTGGATTTCCAGGTATCTTTTTATGCCCCCCTTCGAAGAAGGGAGGGCAATAGTCGGTTCTGTCGGTCCATTTTGTTTCCGTTCATTTTCTTCATAACCGTTGCACATACTGAAATGAAATTTGGTATACAGGTATATCAGATGAAAATCTAGGTCAAGTTCTGTTTTGGGTACGATCACACCATAATTGACAGAGTTATGCCCCTTGGACTTAGAAAAAATCCAATTATTTGCAGTTTCCGTTCATTTTCTTTGGAGAGGTTGCACATATTGAAATGGAATTTAGTATACAGATTAGTCAGATGAATATCTAGGCCAAGTTCTGTTTTGGGTACGATCGCACCATAATTGACAGAGTTATGCCCCTTGGACTTAGAAAAATTCCATATTTTTGCAGTTTCCGTTCATTTCCTTTTGAGAGGTTGCACATATTGAAATGGAATTTAGTATACAGATTAGTCAGATGAATATCTAGGTCAAGTTATGTTTTGGGTACGATCGCACCATAATTGACAGAGTTATGCCCCTTGGACTTAGAAAAACACACATTTCCTTTTGAGAGGTTGCACATATTGAAATGGAAAAACAGATTAGTCAGATGAATATCTAAGTTAAGTTCTGTTTTGGGTATGATCTCACCGTAATTGACAGAGTTATGCCCCTTGGACTTAGAAAAATTCCTATTATTTGCAGTTTCCGTTCATTTTCTTTTGAGAAGTTGCACAAATTGAAATGGAATTTAGTATTCAAATTAATCAGACGAGTATATCTAGGTCAAGTTATGTTTTGGGTATAATTACACCATTTTTGACAGAGTTATGCCCTTTTGGACTTAGAAAAATTCCAATTTGTGGGGAAGGGGGGGGGGGGCATAAGTGTTTTACAAACATCTCTTGTTTAAAAATGATTTATTTTCCAAATTTTTCTCATAATTCTTTCCTCCTTTTTTTCTAGGATCTGCTTGCATCCTTAAGTAAAGGGGACAGCTTTTCGCATCTTCCTCCAGAAATCAGGAAGTCGTTTGATAAATGGTACCAAGACCTGCAGAAGCACAGTGAAGAGGCCAGACATTCAAATGCCTCTACCCCAGAAAAGAACCCCTCTCCCCCTCCTAGAGAGCCTCAGAGCTATCTAACAAACCATGCCCCTCTGCATGGCAAAACAAGAATGAGAACCTCTTTTGACCCAGAGCATGAAATTCCCCGCTTGCAAAAATGGTTTTCTGAAAACCAGCACCCCCCTAGAGAGATGATGATTAAATACCTTGAGGAGCTGAATTCACTAGATTCCAGGAAAGGACGAAGGCCTCTAGATCTCACCAATATCATTTACTGGTTCAAAAATGCAAGAGCTGCACATAGGAGGGCCTCCAAATGCTTTGATGGTGATACATCGTTTGAAGGAGATGAAGCTACAGAAGAGAGTACTAATGCTCCAGATAATGGTTGTTTTATGAACACCAGAAATCTTCCATACATGTTACCTTATCCGTTCCAGGGTATTTATAGTTCCCATGATATTTTAGGAGATGCTCTGAAAGAACCGTGTGATCTCTCAAAGACAGGTCAAAGAGCAAGGATGAACGTTTCAAAGAAAGAAGATGAAGCAGATATTGCAAGTAAGCCTGATATTGAAAAGGTAAAAACTGAATCCTCAAAAAGTTCTGATGCAGAAATGGACAAGTCTGATGATGAAAGAAGCAATGAGGGGCATGGAATCTCAATTAAAAAAGAGAGTGCTTCAATATCTGATGGTGAAAAGACACCAGAGGTGGGAGATGCACCTTATCTGCCAAACAGAAATGCTGTTTATATTCTGCCTCATCAATATGGCCAGTATAAAAATAGCCATGATGATGATGAGGAACCCAGGGAACCATGTGACTTGTCAAATTCTCATAAATCTAGTCAAGGAAAGAAGGAAATGCTGGACACTGCTAACAATAATAGAAAACGAAAGAGTGTCTCGGATGATGAACAGGAGAAAGAAAACTCGAATGGCAAGGCAGACTCGGTCAACAGGTACAATACTGAAAGAAGGAGGTCTTCACAGGATTATCCAAATCACTCCAGGCGCTCAAGCAATGGCAATTCGGAGGTATTTAACTCAGGATCTGATGACGATGAAATGGAGTCGGATATAGACGACAGCCAATCCTACGCAGGGTCAGAATCTAGTCATGAAATGAAAGATGGTGCCCCAATAAGGGAAGCTCACATGGGCAGTTACAACACAAGTACACTCTCACGACTGCAGCATAGTGCTGCAGGATTACACCAACCACTCCACATTCCCCATTTCCCTCATCCCCTGGCCATGACTTACTTTCCCATGAACAGTCATTTTCTACAGCAAACAACTAGGTACCAGCAACAGCAGAACTCACAAGCCATGTCTAGTGATGAATCTCCCACAGATCACCACATTAAGTCTGACAGCCTCAGTTCCTCTCACCGAAAGCGCAGGACACGGGTCTTCATCGACCCCATGTCGGAAATACCCAAACTGGAGAAGTGGTTTGCGGAAGACACCCATCCATCGTCCTATATGATAGACAAGTACTGTGAGGAACTAAACAAGTCAGAGTATCGCCAAAAGTTTCCAAAGTTGGAAGCCAAAAATGTACAACTGTGGTTCAAAAATCATAGGGCCAAAGTGAAGCGAATGCGAGTCTCTTCTGTTGATTTACATGGTATGGAGTATTGAGTTCAAGAAATGTTAAATTATTTTCTGCACCTTTTACCCCTTTATATAAGGTCTACACTTGTAAATTGTATATTTTCACCTATTTTTGTATGTTTTTCTCTTGAATTGCTTCATTTAAAGTTCAAGATGAAAACACGTACAAATACTTTACTAGATTTAGTATGATTTAACAAACAAAAACCTGTTAATTTCTTTAAAAGAAAAACTTATTTTGATAAACATATCAGGTATTTCTGTAAATGTCAGATTAACATTGAAGCTGATGATCTGTTGTTTAGAAGTTCATGTAGTCTGTGAGAAAGGGGACAAAACTCGTTATTGTACTATTGTCAGGTTGTATGTTTTTGTAATGGTTATATCTGAGATATTAATCTACGCCTCATATTCTGGGATTATTTACAATTCTCACGTAACTACAGCATAATTATTTTTCAGACTAAATGTTCATATTTTACAATGAAGTCATAGTATGAAGTTGGAAATGTATTGTTAATTTATAGATCCTTTTTTAACTTTTTTTGCATTGATGAGCTTTTAATATATATAGTTTACAATATGTTCTTTGTGGTCGAAGGTGCTATTTGAAGAAAATCTGAATTGCATTTTTACATTTATCCATTTGTTTTTTTTTTAAGAAAAAACTTTTTTTCAAGCATTGTTTTCATAACATCACTGCCCAAACTTGTTAATTTGTTTTGAAGTTCACATGTGCATGTATGAATCAAAAAAAGTTTTGTTTTTCCACAAATGGAACAGATTTAATTAAAAAGAAATGACATCTTTAATTATCTACTTACGCACAGGTTTTAAGCTATTTATTATAATGTTACAAACATAAGTTCATTATCTCCGTATATTTCATTTTATTACAACACAAAGTTAAACGTAAACTACTTGTAAAATTTTGTCTGTTCTTCACATTCAGTTTTCATTCGACCAAGCTGATACTCAAGCTTGACCATGTAGGGGGTAATCTATAATCATGTAAGCTTCAAGCTTTCCCAGTACTGTGGATCTTATTTTGACTAAGTCACAATTTCTTGTAGTTGAGCTGAACAGGGTACAGAAAAAACAAATTCTACATCTGTTTGATTTTACATTCCATTTGACAAAACCAAATTTGGTTGCTAAACTGATAGGGACAATGAACTGTATTTATCCCAATACAGTCACCTAAAAAGAATAAGGGTTTCATTTTAGCCATTTATTGATTTCATCTCCAGAAAATTTTCTAATAATATAGATTTTTATTAAGAAGTGCTACACACATACATATAAACAGTAAGGTTACATTATTTACTGTATGATCACTAATACTGCATGAATACAATATTCTTTGAGGCATTTCTATAATATTTTATCAAAGGTATTCTAATGTGACATGGGGAAAAAACTTCTTGTATAATTTTAAGAGCAAAACATATGGACACAGATTTTTTCAGGACTGTTTCAGAAATTCTCTATCTTCAGTTTGCAATACTTCATGGGTATTTCTAACATGAGATTTTTCACATATCTAATCATTTTATTTTTCTTTTTGATGACAAAGACAAACTGTCTGCAATTGAAGAATATATGTATATTTTGGTCATAAATATTCCAGAATTCTTCATCAAGATTTAACTGGGATATTTCTAGGTTTGATAAAGATAAATTGATATTCAAAATTTCAAGTACTCAAACTGCATGGTTCCATAAGTCTTGGTGAAAAGTAAACAGAATTATTATTGTCCTAGTAAGTGGTGATCTGTATTCTTTCAGAGAATGTTTTCACGTTGTTCTCACGAGTTAGTAAACATGTTATTCCCTTAACCAAAGGTAATAATTTATAAATTATAAACATGATGCTTAATTGGCCTTCTGAATGTCAATCAACAATACTCAATAACTATTTACTTAAAGCAAAAACTAATTGGTAATTTAAAAGTAATTGTTTGCTTTGGTCTTTATATTAAATAATATAGAATCTTCTCATTTTTGAACATTCTTATTATTTAAAATTGGATAAACTGCAGAAAGTTGTTAATTGACATTAAAAGGAGTTGATTTTCAACAAACTTGCTGAGATAATTCACAGCTTAGGTCTTGGTGAAGAATTCTATTAGAAAAAATTGTACTGTAAAATGGAAGAGCTTTTTGTTTGCATGACTCCTGTAAGAAATGCTTCACACAGACGACGGATGAAATGAAAATTCATCTGTACTACCTTCACGTGTAGGCTTCAGTTAATCTTGCTTTTTCTAGTGTTTTAGATTATTGTATACTCTTTACCCTAACAAACATTTTTCCAGATTATTTAAAATTGAAGAATGCTGTGTCAAATCTTTTCTTAGGAACATCTTTATATATATATATATAATTTACTGAATTGTCTTCATTCTAGTAGAATCACACAATTTTTTTTTTTTGTTAATGCTCTTAGAGTAGTTCGAGATATAAGATTGTTTTGAGGTTAATTCAGCTGATTAAAAAGCTGCTAACAAAGGAAAAAGTTGATAATTAGATTTGTATACCCTGATATATAGCCTAAAGTCACATTTTGTTGTTTACACTGAAAATTATCTAATTTAATATCGAAAAATAACTTTCAGAACTAACATCAGTCCCCTGATATTGTTCACATATCTTGAAAAAGTTAACCTATGTTTACATTATGCTCAATTTTATTGTCTTGTTGAGTTTTTAAACAAGCCATGGTTTTATATCTGACAACAGTGTTCCTCTTATTCACTGAGCTCTCGTCACGATGCTGGTTTTTCAAGTGCGACAGAAACTGGCGAATGAAAATTATTTTATCTATGAAAATTCAGTAACTAAACATTCCATGAAAATCTTAAAAAGAGAAATTTATTTATTAAGATACATTGTCAGTTTATTTTTACATTATTATTACCGAGTCATCAAATGCTATGAGATAGATATGTGAGTTTGGCGACTTAAATTTTATTTATTTATTTTTAAGGTCAGTATTAGTTCCGAAGGAGGGCTATTTAAATTATGGCTGAAGAAGATACCGAATTTGTTATCAATCTATGAGGAAGTGCTATAATCAATATTTTAAAACATTTTTCAATCAAACTTTTTATTGTATGAATGTCTTAATTTTATCTACCGAAGATTTTTAGGCTCATAAATTATTTGAATTGCATTTTTATTACCTTGATTATGACGACATGTATTGTTTTTATTTGCTACCGAATAAATATTATATAGCTTTATTTTACTAAGTCTTATCCTACCGCAGTAACGATTTAACAATAATTGTTATGTTTATCATTCTCTAGTGCTGAAAATTAAAAAAAAAAAATTAAGTTAGTTTAAAGGGTTATGGGCAATAGTTTTGATGTCTGTTTAACTTTTTTAATTTTGTTCTACTCAATTTTTTTTTCCGATTCCTTTTACAGGAATGTGTTCATAATTTGTATTTTGGCGATTTTTTGTGGGCTTTGTCCTCCCATAAAAATGTAAATCTTTGGTGGTTGTTTGTAGGCCTTTGTTAGCTGTTTTTCTTTGCTCCTTTGTAGTTCAGATATTGTAGAATATCATCTTTTTTGTTGACTCTATATTTTTATGGAGACATTATAATTATTATTATTGTTTTTTAGCATCTCTGTAAGAAAAATTGAAAGGTAGTAGGTTTTTTTTTTTGGTTTAAAACAGGTGGAATGATTGCATATATTCTTGTATGTGACACTTATTTTTTACATTTATGTTTCATTCTGACGCAGAACTGAGAACGAACAAAAGAGTGGAATTAGTAGATAACTTGTTAATTATGCACTGAGATTAAATCTTTTGTTCTTAACAATAGTTGCCTTTGCATTTCATTATCAGGAACTTTATACAAAAATACAGAAGCCAAAAAACTTTGTTGTTATGTCAGATATATGCAATTAAAATTTGATGGTCAGAAGTGAAGTTCTTGTTCAAATTTATGTTACTGATGCTGTTAGTGGGGGGGGGACATTTGAATTATTTTCAATGAAAAGATTACCACATTGAAAAAAAGGCCAGAATTAATGGAGAGAGTGAGACATGAAATACTTCCATTTAGCCTTTTCCAGAATGGTTGTAGATAGGAAATTACCTACTCTGCATACAAATGTAATGGTTTGGCCTTGAAGTAGGGATTTAATGGTTTGGGCTACAGGTATTGGCCTGGATAGTTGAGTGGTTAGAGCACCTGACTAATGATGCAGGGGCTCAGGACAGATTATCCTTAGGTAGTGTCTCCAAGTGACTAGAGGCATCATTTTGACCAAACGTGCAAGAATTATATATCTATGGATGCACACTATAGGTCTTGCAACCAATGCTTGATTAGCTGCAATAATGTAGCCCTCTTTTTAGGTCACCTGAGTAAACTCAGGTGACCTATTGCTATCCGTTTTCGTCTGCCGTCATCCGTCGTGCGTTAAAGCCATATATGGCGTAACTGATCAAAAAAAATATAATTTTGAAAAATACAAAATTAAGTAAAGAAATATAATTATTACATTTAAATTAAAACTTTTCATACAATTCTGAACACGGAGAACACCTCGATTCAACCAATAATACGATTTTATCTTCTCTGTAATGTGTTATTTAAATCTTTTGTATTTTCTTCCGAGTCGGAGAAAATTCCGAGATTCCAAATAAAAAAGTGATATCTTTATAACGCAATTGACTTCGATTTTGTAATTTACGGAAAAGTTCTATCTTTATATAAAGTAATGATACAAATAATAAGTTTTTATAATTTTAGTCTTATAATTTTGATTGTACATATGCCATATATGGCTTTAACATTTGAACATTTTCAGCTTCTTCTCTGCAACCACTGAACCAATTTCAACCAAATTTGGCACAAAGCATCTATGGGTGAAGGGGAACAAAAATTGTGAATTTCATGATCCCTGCCCCTCTGGGGCCTGAGGGGTGGGGCCAAAACCACTAAAATTAATGCAATCTTTAAAAATCTTCTTTTTTACTCCTGGACATCAAGCAGTCAAACTGTTTGCATGATTGTAATCAGCATTGAGTCCTCTACCAAAATTGTGAAATTCATGGCCCTAGGGTCAGGGGTTCTAGTGCTAGGGCGGGGCTAAATAAGTATGTAGTGAAAATGCATTATTTCTTTGAAAATCTTCTCTGCTCCTGGGTATTAAATAAACCAACTAAGTACATAGTTATGATGAGCAAGAGTGCTTCTACCAAAATTGTGAATTTTATGGCCCCAGGGTCAGAGGTTCTGGTGTTAGGGCGGGGCTCTATTGATTGTATAGTGAAAATACATGAATTCTTTGAAAATCTTCTTCTCTGCTCCTGGGTATTAAATAAACTAACTAAGTGTAAAGTTATGATGAGCAAGAGTGCCTCTACCAAAATTGTGAATTTTATGGCCCCAGGGTCAGGGGTTCTGGTGTTAGGGTTGGACTCTATTGATTATATAGTTAATATACATGAATTCTTTGAAAATCTTCTTCTATGCTCCTGGGTATTAAATAAATTAAGTGCATAGTTATGATGAGCAAGAGTGCCTCTACCAAAATTGTGAATTTTATGGCCCCAGGGTCAGAGGTTCTGGTGTTAGGGTGGGGCTCTATTGATTGTATAGTGAAAATACATGAATTCTTTGAAAATCTTCTTCTCTGCTCCTGGGTATTAAATAAACTAGCTAAGTGCATAGTTATGATGAGCAAGAGTGCCTCTATCAAAATTGTGAATTTTATGGCCCCCGAGTCAGGTGTTAGGGCGGGCTCTATTGATTATATACTGAAAATCCATTAAATCTTCTTCTCTGTCTCTGGGTATGAAGCAGATAAACTACCTATATAGTTATGATGAGCAAGGGCCCTAATCTTGCAGAATTGTGAATTTCAAGGCTTCAGGATCTGGGGTACCATAGAGGGTGGGGGCTGTACTTGTATACTGAAAATGAATGAATTGTTTGAAATCTGCTCCTTAATATTAATCAAATATTTTTGAAAAGCAAGGATGCCTTTTAAAAAATTGTGCAGTGTGTGGATCTAGGCCTAAGGGTCAGGGGTTCATGTGTGGTATGAAATTGTTTGAAATCTGCTCCTTGTTACTAATCAAATATTTTTGAAAAGCAAGGAAGCCTTTTCAAAAATTGTGCAATTTTTGGATCTAGACCTAAGGGTCAGGGGTTCATATGTGGTAGTGGCACTACTGATTACTGCTGAATATTACTGGTTAGTTGAAATGCATTTTTTGTTCCCCTAACCTGCCTATGGGTTTTAAGTAACCAAGCTAAGCAACTGCTTAGTGTATAGTTATGATGATCAATGGTGCCTCTTTCAAAATTGTAAATGCCATAGCATCTTGCTTAAAACATGAATCGAATTCAATAACTGGAAAGTTGTTGCATAATGCTCAGGTGACCTATAAGGCCCATGGGCCTCTTGTTTTTTTATGTGTTTTTTTTTTGTGTTTTTTCTTTGTTTTGTTTTCCAGAAAATATCAGATAAAAAAAATCGGAGAGAGCTACATTATTGCAGCTACAGAAAATATCAGATAAAAAAAAATCGGAGAGGGCTACATTATTGCAGCTAACGCTTGATCTGACCTACACTCTTTATGAGTGACCATGTTATAGCTTTATCAGGTCTTTTACCAAGAAATTGACTATAAGGCTTATCTTCACCAAACTTGTATGGATGATGCTTCAAGGGATAATAATGACACTCACAAATTTGCTTCAGATGCTGGATTTGACAACTTTTCTGGCTAAGTCTCTATCAAAAGTTGTGGCGAAGGTACGAAAAAGCTATTTTTAGCATACAGGTCACAGTCATTGAGCTTGATGCAGTATAATTTGAAAGAACTTCATTAGTTGAGTTTACATACCAAATATGCAGTCTTTATCTCCTATGGTTCAAAAGTTATGGCAAAGGAACGACAAAGCTATTTTTAGCATATAAGTCACAGTCAAGGTCACAAGGTCATTGACCTGAGTGTTCATTGAAAGAACATAATTAGTGGAGTATACATATGTACCAAATATGAAGTCCCTATCTTTGATGGTTCAAAAGTTATGTTGAGGGTAAATGTTTGCAGACAAACAGCTAAACAGATAGACAGACAGGACAAACACAATATACACCCAATGACGTACATTTTCAGAGAATTCAATGCAAAGCTGCAATATGAGGGCATCAGTGTTTCACAAACACATCTTATGTTTTTCATGTAGAAATTTCTGATTAAATTCTGCTTCATAGGAATAGTACAATTCTCAGTTAACCTTGGAATTTCGATCACTGTTGAAATATATATGGGATAAAAATTCGGGCAAATGTCAAAGAGTATCGCAAATGGCCAATAAAAGTGTCTCGCATGGCAAAGTGGTGGGGCTTAAGTTGTCTCATCATTGTCAACAACACAACAATTTAAAGTTCCTGTTATTATTAATTTCTTTACCAATGAGAATCTATTCGCCATGTCACAGTATCTAATAACGTGGCTCCGAGAATAAAGTCCAAGGTTAACTGAGACTTGTACTACAAAAACAGGTCGGCTAATGAAGGAGCACAATTGGTGCTCACTAGAATTCCATGGAGTGCGATTTGCCCCAAACCCAACCCTCCTAAATAAAATATCATGACTTTAAGTATTTATGACTGGGGAAGGGCGACACATTCTTACAAATGTCCCTTCTTCAAAATGGCTCCAACCGACATTAAAATTATAAAATATAAAATGGATAACTTTGAATTTCTTTTTTTTTTCTCAGTAACTGAACAACTATAATTCTTTTGAAGCGTTAAAGTCATATTTTTCCATCTGGTTTCTAATTCTTATTTTTATTGTATGATCCAAGGCATTTTATTTGGAATGATTTTTTTTTCTCCAATTGCATTTCAAACTACGTGTGCATAACATTGATGAGTGAGAATCTCTGGAATTGGAATATTAAAATAGACTCAATTGCCATAAAAACTGCTTATCTATTTAATTTTCACTGTATAATGCGTGCCATTTACCCCCGGGAAAAATGTCCAAATATTAGGACAACACTGTATCAGTGAATAGAAATCACTGTTGTTTACTTCCATAGGAAAAATACATGTAAATAACATGTTCAATTAATTTATCCTGACCTTTTAAAATGTTAAGAATGCCTGAAATAACAACAAAGAATGGAGGCGTACAAGGCGATGTCAACCCCCCTCTGAGAAAAGACATTTCTCAATTTTAAAAGTTCATGAAAGCGATATTTTTTTTTTTAATTATATGGTTTATATCATCTTTACACATTAAATTCTGAATTTCATTGTTTTAATATTTTATTAATAATTTACTTTTTCATTCCTCTGTTTAAGATATGTGAAAACAAAAAGAAAAAGCTTCACGAATGATTCGAAGTCTCTCCATAGCTTAGGGTTTGGCACAAGACCGACCGCGTTAAGGAGGCTGGGGGGTCAACAAATAAACCAAAAATTAACCACCAGAATTAACTTATTTTTTTAGCTATGGTATATTAAGCTGTCATCTATTATTTGGCAAAGAAAAAATTCCTACATTTTAGTTTTAAAATTTTATCATTTTTTACATCTTTATATGGAGCTCTTCTTTTAAAGGAGATCAAAATAGTCTGAAAATGGCTGCCACCCCCAGCCTCTTTAACCACAACGCTACGAAGCACATGTATGTGCATTATCGATTTGTACCGGTGTCATTTAAATGAACGGGTTTGTTGAAGCGTATATTTTTTTCAGAAAAGTTCAATTTTCATACAGAATCGGTTTAGATTCCATTTTTTGGACAAATAAAATAGATTTCACATTTACGTTTCTATCATTTAAGCGTTAACGAAAAATAGAGACTTGACCCATTCATGTTCAAAATTCTTTTTTTATGGCTCTAGTAAACCCATTTTCCACTAAATATGCTTAACTGTCAACTTTGAAAAAAAGATTGTCAAATGATAAGTCGTTCAGTAAAATAAAATAATAAAATTTATTGAAGATGATATTACTGATTTTATAAAAATATAACTTTACCGTTAATTTTGACAATTGAGAAACATTTTATCTCAGAGCGAGGGATTTTCAACGCCTTGTACGCCCTCTTTCTTGAATAATATTATGCTGTAAATTCCTATTTTTTAGAATTTAGATCCAAGGGCAGATCACTCTAATTGCGGAAAAATACCATAGAATCAGAACTCTTTAGTGTGCACAGTGTAGAGAGGGTTCTTAAGAAATTAGATCTTTACATGTTTTTTTTAATTGCTATCTGCTTTCAAATTCATTAATATATACTTACTTATGCTTCGGTATTTTCTTGTAGTGATTTGTTTGGTTCTTTTTTTAAGGTTTTAAATTTTTTCCTTTCAATGATGAAGTTCTCGATTCAAAAACTGACTAAGGTTTGTGGAGCATATCAATAAAAAAAATTAAAAACGAAAGAAATTTATTAAACACTTGTTAAGTTTGACCATGGATAAAATACAGGGTGTCCCATAATATATGATACCATTTGAAATTATTGTCAGAAATGTACGAGGGCCATTCAAAAATTACACGGACTCTGCTATTATTTAGTCTTACAGACGTCATATAGTTATGAGATTTCACAGAAATATGTATCTTAAAGATTCCAATAAATTTTGGGCAAAATTTTTATATCTTGAAATATTTTCCCAAAAATTATCGCTATGTAAACAGGTCGAGGCTATCTGGTACCACCTGCAGGTCGGCGGTCAGGTGTTATCTTTCCATAAGTGTGCACGAGTTATCTCGCATTACTGTGACGTATAATGAATCCATATTAATTCGTTGATAGAGAGGTACGGAGCACGACAAAAAATTGATACAAAAGCATGCGGAATCCAAAATTTAACTCATAATTTTTCTCATCTTCGCTAGCCAAGGGGTTCCATTCCGAAATCTACTCTACAACAGTAGATTTCGGATCGGAAACCCTTGGCTAGCGAAGATGAAATTTTCTATAATTCGCAATATTTTTCTCAGATGTATCTTTATATTTTTCTATTATTATGTATTTAGTTTTATGGCGTAATATTTGAAGTATTAACAGAAATATGGTGATTTTTCTCTGATGCGATTCCCGTGAAAACGACTGTGAAAATGACGGAGCACCACACTTTGTTTAATTATGTGTAATGCTCGAGATATCGCCAACATAGATACAAAATATGCATAATAAAACATGAAGTAAACTTGGGAATTCGTGACATTTGTCTATATTTGCATATCCACTGCTCTCTCCCACTATGAACATGTAGTCAACAACTGCGTTCATAGGACTATATTGGCGCTTCTACTATGAATGCAGTTGCTCTATCTCACTCGTGTAGAAAAATCCCTACTACACTGACATAAAGTGTTGAGAAGGATATATATGAAATGTTTCATAAGAGGAATAAAAATAAGTTTTAAATAATATTCTTTGAAAAAAAGGAAATTCAGAATATTTAAAATTGCTGATTTATATCTTTAAAAATTCAATTTCGGTCAATGTATTTAATTGTATAATAAAACTCTAAAAATTGTAGAGAACTGTCATATTTTTATTTTTAGTATCATGCTTATTTGATCAAAGAACGATAACTCTTCACACTTGGGTAATAACATTCAGAAAGAGAAAATTTCTTTAACTAGTATATCTATTTCAAGAATGATTTTTCAAGAATGATTTCAGCTATTAAAAGTATTAATAGAAAAACTAAAAAAAAAAAAAAAGAATATGGAAAAGCATTCTGGAGTAATAATCATTATAAAAGCATTCTCATTTTTAATCATAGTGTTAAATTATTGATTTTTGTCAGAGTGTTTTACTAACGTCGATCGATGACGTCACAACTGCATCAAATAAAAATGTGTTGACGGCGCTGCTTGTATCCAGATAACTGTGTTTGAGAGGGAAATACTTTATAAATATGTTTGTGATTTATTATGGAAAAGGGGTATGATTTTAAAGCCGTATGTTTTTCTTTACTGAAGACAAGAAGCTGCAACCTTATGTAAGTCAGGATTTCCTCTGATATTCTTGAAAAAAAAATCAAAGAATGCAAATATAAGTAATAAACAACGATTATTCAGTGAACATGGCGTTATGAATAGCAATAGCTCTGCTGGCATATTTTCCATGATGCGCTAGCGCGCATCATGGAATATGCCAGCAGAGCAATTGCTATTCATAACGCCATGTTCACTGAATAAAGTTGTTTATTTCTTAAATAAATAGCGGGATTTTAGACCGTTAGACCTCTGTTAAAAGGCTATACAGGAGGACGGGAAGAAGATTATTGACGAAAACTTTATCCGGACTGAAAAGAACAGAACGTGATTGAGAGTCACCAATGTCACTCTATATCTCATAAATACCTTCACCTGCACTTTTTGGTTTTAAAACAAATAAAAAGAATATACTTTAATTGTTAAATAGATTTTAAGCTTGACAAAAAATGATGTATGGATGTTGAGTAGATAAGGTAACTCAAACTGTACAGGAACTCTTGGGAAAATGTTGAGAAAATTAAAGCTCAATCACATATCTTTTTATAATGCCTGTGACGTCGAAGATTTTGCTGCTCCTTGACTTAATGATTTGTCCTGATAAATCATCCAAAATTGATACGAATTTACAACATTTTGATATGAAATTTTGAAGACCATATAAGTAAACAGTCTTTTATGTTATGTGTGACATTTTGCCCGATTACTAGTATGTCGTCAAATATTTTTTCTGTGCAACAAGTCCGCGTAATTTTTGTACGGCCTTCGTATGTCTTATTTCGTTGATATTTGTCTAATTTATTATCTAGATAAATTCAATTTTTAGCCACAAAATATTTCAATAAAAAATTATCACAAAGTTTGAAAAAAATATCCACAAAATTATGCCAAATATTGTGAAAAATTGCATTTCAAGCAAAATGGATTCATCCAACATGCTCATTTCAAATCTGTAACTATCAAATATTACATTCATAAAACGTCTGTTTGTTGTCAACTTTAACCTTCGCCATAACTTTTGAACCTTGAGAGATAGAGACTTCATATTTGGTTTGCATACTCCACTTATAAAGTTCTTTCAAAAGACACCAAGGTCAATGACCTTGTGACCCTGACTGTGACCTACATGCTAAAATAGCTTTTTCGAACTTTTGCCATAACTTTCGAACCATAGGAGATAGGGACTTCATATTTGGTATGCATACTTTACTAATTAAAGTCATACAAATGACACCAAGGTCAATGACCCTGTGACCTTGACTGTAAAATATATGCTAAAAATAGCTTTTTTTTTCCGAACTTTCGCCATAACTTTTGAACCATAGGAAATACAGACTACATTTTTCGTATGCATACTCCACTAATAAAGTTCTTCTTTCAAATGACATTAAGATCAATGACCTTGTGACCTTGACTGTGACCTATATGCTAAAAATAGTTTTTTGGAACTTTGTTGCCGCCGGGCGCATAGTGTTTCACGAAGACATCTTGTTAATCATGGTAGTATTTTGAAGATATTATCAAATAAAATTGCTCTACCAAAAGAATTTACAAACTTTGATTATTGTCCAGTTAATTTCACCTTGAATTTTACATTGAAGTCCATGGGCAGTGCATGTTTTTATAAGATATTGTAAATAGTAATTTGAATTTCAAACAAATCTCTTGGTGAATATATGCATAAACTACCTTCTTATTAAACTATGAAATAAAATGAATTTTTTACCGCAGAAATTTGTAGAAATCAAAAATTTTCTTCTTTTCATCAAGGGCAGGTAACTCTTCAAAATATTTAAATGTGCAAAATGACCGTCTCCTTAATGTTATCAGTCTTGTGAATTTGGTTCATGTCACTTTTATCGTTATCTAGCAATGTGTTAAAACTAGCTTAAAATTATTCAAAATCGTTCAAAATCCCTTCATTCTACATTGAATACCTTAACTTATCTAAAAAGGTATATATCCGATGAAAATCCCGATTACTAGTATAACCAAAGGGAAATGCACTGTTGGTTATGGAATTTTGTGTAATGTCTAGACATGATCATTACACAGATTGGACGTCATTTAGAGGACATCATTTAAAAATGATAGCATTTTTCAAAGTGAACTTATTTTGCAATGTTCCTTTAAATGTCAGTCAAACTGTGTGACAGTAGGTGCAATGTTCTAGTACATTTGTTGTATTTCAATATTCATTACATAATGTTTTACGTAATCATGAAATGGTATCATATATTCGTGGACACCCTGTACTAGACCTTAAGAGGAAAAACATTTTCAAATCACTAAAGAAGGCCCAATACTTGTAAACATTTAAAAAAAATTCTTGAATTAAAAGCACTCATACCTCCATTTAAAAGGAAAAATCCTACTCTGTACTTCAGATACAGTAAGGAAATCTGACTATGGGGTAAGTTATAGTGATAGAAGGCGTAATTCGAAGGATGCTTTGTGCAATTTGATTACTGGTTCTGGGAAAAAGTCTAAATCGTGAAAGATTTACAGACAACCGACGCATATACGATTAAAATGATAACGGAAAACCCCATGTTAAACATTCGCTCTTAATTAAAACGTTATAGAGCTGTACAAGAAATTTCCGAGGAGCTGTTCGAGTGGACAGGCTCTCGCTTACAGTAGGTCCACTTTTGTTAAGAGAATATAAGTCCTTCGGTCTGTCTATCCATCCGTCCGTTTGTAAAAATTTTTACATTTTGGGCTTCTTCTCTTGAAGCACTGGGCCAGTTTCAACCAAGCTTACCACAAAGCATTTTGGGGTGAGAGGAATTCAAGTTGTTCAAACTTAATATCTTGCCACGCCCTCGTTCAGATGATATTATTTAGAAATTTTGTGGCATGTTTTAATTTTTTCTCAAGAACCACTGGGCAAAAAAGATGAAAATGAATAGGAAAACTTCTTTTCGTTTTATAGATTCAAGTTTCTTCAAAGATGACCCCTAGGGGTAGGATGGGACCAGAATGACTCAGGTTATCAATGTGGCCTATGGGCCTCTTGTCATATATGTAAAAGTTGTTGACAAAAATGATTTGTCACAGTGTATCCTACTGTTTATATTATTATTGAAATTTATCGTACTTATCAAAATAAATCACTCATTACCCAGTAAATTAAAATCATTTTCATTCCCAGTACATTTTATTTCAGTTCTCCTGGCCTTGTCGCTCCTGAAAACTGGACAGATCAAACTGTGAGATGTGCTGTTTTAGCATTGCTCAAAGAGATGAGCCAATCAACTCTTGCCAAACAATGTCCTCTAACTCAGGTAAGAGGTCTCCCACCTTCAATATGTGCAGAAAACCCCCCAAATGCTAAGCCTGAACCCTTGCTTTAGTATTATTAACTCTTTCTTACACTTTTAACATTCCAGTAAATCAACATGGACCTAAATCTGATTCCAAACCTTCGTGCAAAATCTTAAAAGCAAAAACATTATATTCCCGGACCCAGCCATTGTTCTACTAAACTTTTACCCGGACCCGTTCTACTAAACTTTTACACGGACCCAGCAAATGTTCTACCGAGCTTATACTCGAACCCATCAACTGTTTACCGGGCTTTTACCCGGACCCAACAAATGTTCTACCAAACTTTTACCCGGACCCAGCAAATGTTCTACCAAACTTTTACCCGGACCCAGCAAATGTTCTACCAAACTTTTACCCGGACCCAGCAATTGTTCTACCAAACTTTTACCCGGACCCAGCAAATGTTACCAAACTTTTAGCCTAACTTTTACCCTGTCCCAGCAACCCGCTTTTCTCGAACCCTAAACTTTTACCCGGACCCAGCAAATGTTCTACCAAACTTTTACCCGGACCCAGCATATGTTCTACCAAACTTTTACCCTGACCCGGCAATTGTTCTACCGAGCTTTTACCTGAACCCGGCAATTGTTCTACCGAGCTTTTACCTGAACCCAGCAATTGTTTACCTGGCTATTACCCTGACCCAGCAATTGTTTCCTGGCTATTACCCTGACCCAGCAATTGTTCTTTTAGGCTTTTATTTTACTTAATGTCACATGCACTTTAACGTTACATATAGGAAGATTATCATCAACAGATATATACGCGACGCAGCTGTACATGTACTCTGCAGTTATTCTTGACCCCCAACTGATGATTTTAAATTTTTAACTTTTAATTCAAAATTATAGTACATGTACGTGTTTCATTAGATTAAAAAAAATCAGTTCTGTTGCAGATACAATGACCTTGTCATCAAATACAACAATAATTTTATTTATCATTAAGTCAAATGTTGACTGATGTGTTTCATAATAATTGTTAGGCCATTATTTACACTCTGAATTGTAGACAGATGTTCCCGTTATTTATCGATCATGACATGAAGCACACGGCAGGTGTGATCGGTCAGCAGGGGATGCTCACTCCTCCATGGCACCTGATCCCACCTCTGATTTTTTTTTTGGATTGTTTGCTGTGCTCCAATTTTGTATTGTTAAATGGACTTTTGAGCTTGAATACTGTTCGTTATCTCCATATGCCTGTATTTCATTAAAAAAAATCTTCAAGTGAAATAACAAAAATATTTTTTGCTGCTTTTCCTGTAGAGGAGGTGCGCAACATGCATTAACATGCATCCTGAAGTCACTGTAAGATCTTTCAATTATTGTATATCTAAAGGGAAATTAAAGTTTAAAACTACGATACTTTTTATAAGATTTCACCGTAATCGAAGATTGGGGGGCGTATAGTTTTTGTTTGTCTGTCCCTCCGTCTGACTGTCTAGCTGATATTAGCGCTTCTGTATGAGCCAAAGGCTCAAAGAGCTAATGCTATGACCATTTGTGCGTCGTGCGGTGTGCGTAAACTTTCTAGAATATGGGCCATAACTCAGGAACCCTTTGACCAATCATTGTCAAATTTATCATGGGATATCCTTGGCCCAAGGGCTACCATTTATACTAAAACTAGGGGTGTGACCCTAAAACAAGGGAAGATAATCATGAATATAAAACTAGAAGTACTCGTTGCTAAAAAAATCTTCTTCTCCAGAACCACCAGGCAGATTTTCACCAAACTTACATACAAGGGTCAGGGTATGTCGAAGATTAAAAATTGTTCAAGGCATGACCCTGGGGCAAAGGGCGGTGTCTCAAGGTCACTTCAAAGTTGACCAAAATTTACACTTAATAAAAATATTGATATTTTGCATCTATAAAGACAGGGATTATCAAATCTTGTACGTTGATGCATCTTAGGACTTCACATCATGTTAACACAAAAGTAGGTCACGGTGACCTACTTTTTAAATTTTACGGGCTTTCATTTTCAAATTGATTTAGAGGCATAATTTGGACACTTTAAGGCCTATGATCATCAAACTTTGTCAGTTGATACATCTTGGGTCCTCGAACAAGGTCAGCTTAAAAATACTAGTAGGTCACCCCGACCTCCTTTTTGAATTTTATGGCTTATCTTTTCTAAAACATTTAATCCCATTATTTCAGACACTGAGAGGTTTAAAAATCACCAAATCTTGTAAGTTGATGCATCTTGGGGCCTTAAAACATATTAATGAAAAAGTAGGTCACTGTGACCTACTTTTTGAATTTTGTGGGCATTTGTTTTCAAATTGTTTAAATGGCATATTTTGAATACTTTCAGACCTATAATCATCAAACTTGGTCAGTTGATGCATTTTTAGTCTTCGGAAAATGTCAACCAAAAGTAGGTCACTGTGACCTACTTTGACATTTTATGGCTATATTTAAGTATCTTAGGTACTTATTGGCTTAGAATCATCAAACTTTGTCAGTGGATGCATCTTAGGTCTTTGCAAAATGTCACTATGACCTACTTTTGACATGTTATGGCTATTGCGACATATGACCTATGTTTTTCACGGTCTTTTTCTGAAGAACCACTGTCCATGCCACACAGTAATTTGGAACCAGCAACGTAAAGATCAAGATTGGAGTAAACGCGGGCTTATCTATCTCCTGAGAATCATAGTGCATTGTGGTTAAAATTTAATAAAATGATGTGTCTTAAACAAGTATCAAATCAATCTGTGATCTTAATGCGCAAATATAAAAAAATTAAAAATCAATTATAGCCACAACGAATTCGCTTTATTCATTTAATGAGTCAATCAATTAAATTCAGTGATGATTTCAACTGAAACTAAGGCTAGTATTTAAAAAAAGACATTTAAAAATAATTTGATAAATATTTTGAAATTATTTACGGCAGTTTTATTATAAGAATAAAAGTGCTAACCATTTCTTTATTTAGAAACCAATTACAGTATTCAACTAAAGAAATAGTTATTTAAAATCATAGACATGTCCTCTTAAATTCGTCTATTCAGCAAATTACTTTGTAATCCTAACAATTAATAATCCAGAATTAAAGATATTATTTGTTCGTAGATGTACATGTATCTTATTAAATCACTACCCATATCTACAAATCACATTGATATATATCATAAAATGATTTTAAAAAAATCAATATTTATTTAGACTTTTCAAGTAAATGGTTTTTTTGCATCTCCATTCCCTATATTCATACTGAATCTTTTTTCTTTTTCTTACAGTCAGCGATTTCTAATATTGCAAACTGGAAATATGCAAGTAAACTGAGTGACGAAAAATGTAAGGAATTTGGTGCATGGTACAAACAATACAATTCAAAGAAAGGTACGCAACTTTATACTTTCTGCACAGTTATATTGTAACACTTCGAGAAAAAAAAAATCACAAAAACTTCAAGATAATGAGAACATTTGCATATTACTTTTTAGAAATCCGGAGCGAGGGCTTTGGTGTACCTAAAGATTCAAGATTGACCTTCCATCCTCAACATGAGATTCCGCAGATGAGAAAATGGTATACATCTTGTAAAACCCCCTCAGACGAAAAATTAAAATTTTTTGCCGCTGAATTAAATAAGGGTCATGTGAGACAGGAGAGACCGAACGTGACGGTGGCGAGATTAAAAATATGGTGGAAAAATGAACGGCAACGGGAAAAGCGTCAGCAACACCAAGCTCAAACCGAAAACGAGGCTGAGGAACGGGGAGGTTATGATGCAGATCCACAACCTTATACTTCAAGCAACCAACAACCTTCAACTTCAAGCAACCAACAATCTTCAACTTCAAGCGAAACTCCTTCAACATCAAAATCATTTGCCGAGTTAAGGAATGTATCTAGTGAATTGCTTGCTTCAGAATTATTATGTAGAAATAGTTACTCTAGTGACGGATCTAGTGCTGGCGACCCTTTTTTATGAGTCTGAATTCCACTGACTATAATTCCTTGAATTGCAATGTGACAATTCTGACAAAATTATCTGATAAACTTTACCAAAATACCATGGGAATACTGAATGTATTAAGAGGGTTGCACAATGTTTATCAAAACAATGCAATAGAATTCTTCTTTTCTGAAAAAAAAACCCATTTCAAGTTATGTGAAAAATGCACTTGTATATACCAATAATTGTGCATGCATAATGTTCGTTGTACACCATTAGATACTTTTTATGTATTTTGACAATTGTTTTAATTTTGGTGAATTTGGCTCCACGGACATTATGGGATTTGCATCAAATGCAAATTCGCCTATGCTTCATGGTCTTATATAAAATTTTCGAAAGTGGTTTCAGAAATCGTTAATGCTTAAAAATATAAGCATTGAGTGTCTTGGGAATATCCCTATATAGCTTTTTGTAAGCCAAGAACATCCTCGAAAGCCAGCGGTCCTGAGTCAACACGTTGCTGTTAGTGTTGACACAGGACCACTGGCTTGCGAGGATGACCACGTAATGCATTACTGTTTACTGTTTTAAATAGTTTTACATATTTTTTATAATAATTTTGCATCCGGGATATCTCTCAGTTGATATTCGAGACGCAAGAGCATGCTCTACAAACGCACGATTTGACTTAATGATAGGTTGTATTTGCCAACAAGGTCAATGTAACGACAAAATGATGACTTCAAACAAGGCTATTGATACCTTTTTTCATCAACTAGCTTGTAAATATCTTGTCACGTTTTAGAATTTTTTCATGCGTAAAGCATGTACAATATGCTGGTATATCGAGCAATATATTGTTTTTAAAGATCATCGGAAAATATCACATGTTAGTTTTTCACATTGAAAATATGTACAGTGTATGTTTCTAAATTTCCTAATTTTATTCAATAAAATGTGAAGTTAACGAATGGCATTCTCCTGCGTATTGAATCAACTGAGACATAAACCCCATACCGCAGGTGATATAGGAATGTTATACACAAGTAAGGGGAGTTTACGATGAAAAAGATGGAGTTGTCACGCTTAACGTAAAGCATTGCTGTTAGATTACCATTAACGCCTTTTTCTAGTAATATATATCCAAATATGAAACAAATTTTTCAGACTCTGTGTGGTATCTTTTATTTTAACTGGAATATTATATAAATATTGCATGTAGTTGAGTGTAACATTGAAAACTTTTTTTTCGGTATATTAAACACACCAAGAAAACCATTGTAATTTTGAGGCGCAGCCGAGGGTGACAATGGTTTTGGTCTTATATAAAATTTTCAGTGTTACACTCAACTATGCAATATTTATTATATTATACTGAATGTTTTATACACATACATATTACAGTGAACCGTGCGCGCACAAATTCCGCGCAGTCGCTATTTTTTGTAATACCACCCGTCGTCAAGCAATGTTGACTGTTGCTACGCAGGAGGGCGTGGCTTCATTATTCAGCGGGTAGTATTGTTTTTTATCAAATGTTTCTCGACGAATCAGATTCAAGTAATTTACATGAAAGTATAATATATCGAGTTGTCAAATAAATGGAAAAAGTAGTAGTTTTGAATTTTGAAAATATTCTGCTTCATATGAATATAAATATGTCTGCTAATAAGTGTGCGCATTTGGTAGCCAAGGGAATTCCACCATATTTTTGGAAGAATTGATCACCATAAACTACAAGTACATTGATACAATGAAGCGCATTGAAGTGGTAAAATTTTCTGTTTGGATGGAACGTTTTGAGCTATCTTTAGACACGCCCATTTCTCTAGAAAGGAAAAATCGGTCAAATGATTCAACTGAATACCTGTAGAACAGGCATTTCATAAATATAATAGCCAATGAAATTAACGGTCTACGTAAACACCGAGTAAGCACGTGTTCGACTCATACATGTGCTTTGCTAACTCCAATAAACATGATAAAATCATAATTATGTACAAATTTGTTATAATACGTGTTTTACAAAAGCGGGAACTCTATACATAGCTCTTTCTTATTTAGAAATCTTCATTTCAGTGTAACTCATGTTGCTTGTCGCGGAAAGTGTAGTGTCCTAAAACATTACGACGAATATTCCTTTCTCGTTTCTAAAGAAATGGGCGTGTCTTTATGTTATAATTGACATTCAAAACATGACTCAGAACGTTTCGTCCAGATGGAAAATTTTACCACTTCAATGCGCTTCATTGTATTGACAATCAGAAACTTTAGCATCTTTTTTGTATCAACTTCAGAGAACTTATGTAAACAATAAGAATGTTTTATTAACAAAAAATGCAAATAACCAATCACAAGGCATGTGTATTTACGGATTTCACTTTTATTTAAAAAAAAAACAACTTTTCATTATGTCAAAAAGTCTGTCCCACAACTTGTGGTGGGGAATGATTGTATGAAGCGTTGAACAATTATACGTTTTAACAAAAAGTGTTGATTTTAGTAAAATGTAATGACTTCAACTTTTGTAAAAGTTCCTTGGAGTTCCAAGGTATCTACGTCTGATTTATACAACTTCTCAAATTTACTGTTGTAAGTACTCCTAAAATATTTTCTCAATTGCTGTAAATACTACAATGAAGAATACTTCAGTGAAGAGTAAGGATAGATGTTTGGTATACAAAATTTACTAGAACCCGCCATGTATAGTTATTTGTAAGGATTTTTATGGCGTTTGGAATTCAGTATGGTATGGAAATTCAAATTTATTTGATTGTAAGTTGGGATACTTAAACTGACTTATGGAGAATTTCCTCCTAAGTTTTTTGATTTTATTTTGTTTTACGTCTCGTTCTAGAACTTTTCACTCATAGAGAAACGGCATCATATACCGATGAAAGGCTTCAAATGTAGACCTTAAACTGGCACTCAGGACCATTGATGGTTCTTTGTCGCACCACCGCCTACCGTGACACAACCGGGCCTAGGTTATAACAATCTCATAAGAATGACCCGTGATTTTTACTTTAAAATGCCGAGTAGGCCTACTTGGTGAAAGAATAGTTGTGCCCATTTTTATAGACTTAGGTCAGTCGCGGCCATGATTTGAACACAAGGCCTTCAGATCAGGGAGCAAAAGCTCTACCGGCTGTGCTATCATAACGGTTAAATTCCTCCTTAAATATGGAGCCATCGGTATAAGTTGAATGACCACTTGCAGAAATAAATGCTAGGTCCTCTTAAAGGGGCATGGACACAGTTTCAGCGGAAAATTTTCAAATGTGTTCTTTCAATTTTTACAAATATTAAACTAAGGTCTGTTTAATGATAATCAAAAATTTGAACTTCAGTTGTCGAAATACAAGACAGATTTAGAGCTCAAAACCTTTGTTATGTAAACAAGGCCCGTGTCCTGTTTTTTTTCTCTATTTTTTCTATATGTAAACAAAAACAAGGCATGAGCATTGTTTACATTATCAATGAACTTAAAGTTCTGTATCTCGTTTGTTAATCAACAAACGATATTCAATGTTTTGCTGATCATTAAATTATGCTTTCCTTAGGAATTGTACGTAAACATTAAAATTTGTTTTAAAAAAATCAGTTTAAACTCTGTTCATGTGCCTTTAAATACAACTCAAATAAAAAGCCTTACAAACAAAAACTATTTTATACCTATTATGTCTGCTGTGGCATGTACATGTTATCTATTAAGTTCTTGTTTCACTTGGGCATTGCGAAGACAGAAAAGATGATTAGTATTCATATTGTAAGATTTCAACAACCATATGATGCATTTAATTCTTTTTCATTCTTGGTTCATCGTCTGGCGTAATCTACATGATTCATGACAATTATGAAATTATGACGCCAACTAAGAGATCGAGATTCCTTAAACTTTCTCTTTCTTTTCGTAAGTGACTTAAGGTCCTCATTACTAATTATATTTACGCCATCAGTAATTCCATCGACTAGCGCGCACAAAATACAATGTGTCCATATACGCGTGTATAATATATACGGTATAAGAAATCCCTCAAAATAATCTCCTGGATAGTGAAGTCATATTATGAATGTATCTTCAGGTAGTGTAGATGATTCAAATTTATAGACTTTATAGAAAGAGCGGGATATGAGCGATTGTAGTTTAACATAGTATATAAGTCTTATGACAATTTTTTTTGAATTGTTCCTTAAAAACAACAAAGTCAGAATATTTGTCATTTAAACATAAATGTACCCCAGGTAGTGTAGTTTCATTTTTGTTTAAATCGTGAGCTCTGAGGATAGGGTAGGGCAACAATGAAGAATCTACATTTCAAATAAGAATGTTGACAGGAAAAAAATGTTAAAAAATTCTTTTCAAGAACATCAAAACCACGAATGGTCGAATTTATATAGATGCATACTCAGTGTATACTCAAGTTGAATTGTACCAAGGGTCAGATAGGGAATGCTTAATATAATAATTTATATTATTGACAAGCAAGTTGATGAAACAAAAATATCAGCAGCCTCGTTTTAAGTCATCATTTCGTAAGTTCTATGGTCGATACAATGACCTTGTCAGCAAATACAATTTATCATTGAGTCAAATGCTGACTGACGTTTTTCATACTAATTGTTAGTCCATTATTTATACACTGAATTGACGACGGATTTTCCCGATATTTCCCGATCATGACAAGGAGTACACGGCGGGTGTGACCGGTCAGCAGGGGATGCTCACTCCTCCATGGCACCTGATGCCACCTCTGATGTTTTGGAGGTCCGTGTTGGCTCTGCTCCTATTTTGTATTGTTTTATGGACTTTGAGATTGAATGCTGCACGATATCTCCATAAAACCTCCAAATTCATTCATGAGTACACAGAATAACGAAATGATACTGGTAGGCGCGTCGCCCAGAATAATCAAAGTACTGTGAGTACTGAAAGACGGTGGCATGAATGATTTTGTTTGTTTAACACCCCTTTCGAGAATAAAATTTTTAGCAGCGAAGTACATTTTTCTGGCTAGCAATTACTGCGACAC